ATATCCTGCCGCTGCCGGTTCCGGGGCTGGGGCACAATGTCTCTACTAGGGGTGGCGGGGGCTGAGGAGCTGATTTTCTATGTGAACGGGAGGAAGGTAAGTGCTGCCCGGAAAGAGTGTGGAGAAAGGGGGGCTGCTGTTCCAGAAGTAACCCCGAAGGGTGTGGGCACAGATTTGGTTTCCTCAGACTTCTTCCTCATGGGAGTATAACCAGTTCCACACACAAGCCTCCAGAAGGATTCCTTCCCGTCTCCTCCTTGCTGCCTAAGAAGCGAATCAGCCTCCAAGCATTACTTTAGTTAGCTAACACTCTTCTGCGTACAGCAAGTGCTGTCAGAAGGGGAGAAGCAGCAGAGGAGGACAAACGTAATTACAACATCCCGTTTTAGCTAGCTCTTGCTGCCTTTGGGGGAGAAAACATGTCAAAGTGAAATGGACTTTCAGCTGAGTATCAAATTTGGCTGGTGAGCAAACTAGTTTTTCATTTGTACGTGCCTGGCTTCTCATCTTTGATGGTATCAGAAGAGGCATCAGATGGTATCAGATTTTCAGAGGCACAACAGAAAGTCAGCAAGACTCAGGTGCCAAAATATGGACTAGGCCAACATAAAGATAATACTGCAAGAACAGAATTAAAATGTTGATTCAGTGGAACTGGAAGGAACTAGCTGATTCTAAGCAACGGAATAAGAAATCCTGTAATCGATCAAGAATGCAGGCATTTCTATTGTGCTCGGTTGTTAGTCTGTTACGGCAAGTGAAAGTTTATATAAATAAAGCTAGAAGAAAAGCGGTTCCTGCTGGTGGCCTTACAGGCTTCCTCTGGTGTTCATCCCAGTAGGTTAAAGTGCCAGGGAGACTCTAAAATCTGCAAATCACTAATTCTTTATGCTATGCTACCTTTATTGTAGCAAAGTTCTGCTGCATTTTTATTTCTAGTGTGGCTGAAGGTAAATGCCCTCAGTATGACCTTTCACTGAACAGCAGTTATTTTCAGTAGTTGCAAGGTGCCCTGGCACTTCTTTCCTGGAAACATATCTGTCTGAGGAGGAATTTCCAGGAGGAGCCCAAATTCTCCTGTGGTCTTTGGCAATTAGTCTAGTTCTATGAGAGGGAACCAGAGAAGGATTCTCTTCTGGCTTTGTGGGAATGTAGTCTGTGCCCTGAATTTTGAAAAGCCTTGGTTTCTTAGTTAAACCTTGTTTTTCATTTCTTACTGCAGATAGTAGAGAAAAATGCTGATCCTGAACAAATGCTGTTGTCTTATCTGCGAAAGAGGCGTATCCTTTTCTTGTCTGTTCCCTTAAGTCACTCATTTGAAAGCCGTATTCGAGCAAAATTCTCATAAATGATAATTAAAAGGTGATTTACCAGGTTAAGGAAGTCGTGACTCCCTCAGGATAAAACAACCATATTAAATGATGTGTCTTTCTTAAGCCAAATACTCTTCAGTGAGCTGCTCTATTTTTAGCCTAGTTTCCTAAACAAACAAAGTTATGCCATCAGGCATGATGTGTATGTGTGTATCTGTGTTCCTCCCCTCTCCCTCCATAAAGAAACCTAAGATCCTTTTGGCCAGTATACATAAAGCTTGACAGAATAGCTGTCTCCAAGTTTTGTAAAAGTCTCTCTCCCAGGAAAGGGCAGATCTTGTGATGAGACCCTGAGTCTGCTGGAATTTTGAGTAATCTATTTTTTCTTATAAGAACTCCAAACGGATTTCTAAACTCAAAAAACAGGTTTAATAGTAAGTAAATATGAACAAGTATATTTTTAAAATAGAAAAAAAAATTAAATTAGTTAGACAAGACAGAATAGAAGTTGGGAGAGCTAGAGCTCTCACCCTGCTAGTTTTGTCTTTGCAGGCAAGGTTCTTTCCTCCTGTTTTGGTTTCAGTCCACAGCTCAGTGGCTTTCTGAGTTGCTACAAGTTGTGCAGCACTGGCTCTGATCTTTTCCTCTCTTTCTCTTCACCATTTCAGAGGCCTGACCGTGTGCCTGCTCTCAACTGTTCTTAGGAGTTTTCCAAAATCTGCTGCGCCACAAGCTTATTCCCAGTGTTCATGAAGCTGTTGCATAATATTCTGAACACGTGTGTAGGGACTCACAGCCAGCAGCAGGGAGTGAATGTGGGGATGAGCAGAATCTCTCCTTTTTGCAGCTTCCTAGACTGTCTCGTGAAACATACCCCCACAGGGCAAGTGAAGTACCATATACTATAGAATTCACACAGGAGAGAGTTTTTATATTTGTCTCAAAAGAAAAACTTAAGTCAAAACATGTTTGTTACTGGTCAGTCATAAGGAAGAGTCTGGAGCAGAATAGGTTGCTGTAGTTACGGTGCTTATAAAATTGTTCTTCAGTAATTTGAACAAGTTCAGACTCCATCGGACTATAAAAAGTAGAATCATAGAATCATAGAATTGTTTAGATTGGAAAAGACCCGTAAGATCATCAAGTCCAACCATTACCCTAACACTACCAAGTCCACCACTAAACCATATCCCTAAGCACCACGTCTACACGTCTTTTAAATACCTCCAGGGATGATGACTCAACCACTTCCCTGGACAGCCTGTTCCAATGATTGACAACCCTTTCGGTGAAGAAATTTTTCCTAATCTCCAATGTAAACTTCCCCTGGTGCAACTTGAGGCCATTTCCTCTTGTCCTATTGCTTGTTACTTGGGAGAAGAGACCGACACCCATCAAGTAGCTCAGTACCAGCCCTATTACAAGAGTTATACTTCATAGATTAAAGCGCATTGGTGAATGAGATAATGTAATTCTGCACTGACTTGCTCTGACACCTTGAAAAATCATTCAACCTTTCTGTATCATTGTACCCTGCTTATAAAATGAGGATAAGAGTAACTTGTTTTCAGGAGCTAGTTGGTTTCACCATACAGTTTAAACGTCAACTTGTAGTATTCCTGCCCTCTGTTGCTTAGGTCTGTATGACAGCGTGCCATTCCCTGAGGTGCGCTTGCCCAGCTGTGTCTGAGACCACTTTGTTAGCCAGATAGAGGAACTGATCCTTTTCACAGCAAGCCTCCACATATAGTTGAGTTAACATAGCTAGGGGGACAGCTAACTTTGGTAAAGAGACAAAAATTAATGTCAGGGAACAAAAATATAGGACAGGAATACCTTATGCTGATATTGCCAAACTCTTTATAATGTGAAATGATTGCCTGAGTGAGCATGAGGAACTTCAGCATCTTCCAGTAATGTGTTTTACAATTGCAAGGTACAGTATAATACTTCTCTAAGCATCCTGTCATCTTTTTTTTGAGGCTAAATGCCATAGGAATCGGGCACATGAGACCCAGAACTCTACCATTCCTGGTAGACAGTTCTCTTCCTGCACCTTGTGCCAGCTGTGGAGTTCCTCAGATCTCTCTGTGTACTAATTCCACTCATTAGGCCAGCAGCAAACTAACTCAGGAAAACCAGAGGTTTTCAGCTGGATTAGGGACTCAGTCGCGAATTGGTCAGCTTGTCATTAGTCAGCTCATGGAAGGGACTGGTGAGAAAAAGGCTTGGTGCAAGAGGTCTTGGGTTTTGGAGCAGGTAATGTTGGGAAGAGAAAGGACAGAAGAGGAGGAAGAAACGGGGAGTAAGGCATCCTCCTTTTGGTGGCTGTAAAACATTAAATTAGCTGTTTGTCAATTCACAGCTTCAGATTGGCCACTGTTCCAGATTCATAGAAACGAGCACTTCTCTCATAAGTGTGATCTTTCCGATGAGATGCAAGGTTAATATCCTGACTATAAATGGGCCGTCTGGGAAAAACTGGGGTATTGGTTTTAGTGGAACTTCAGATATATAGCTATTTTGCCCATTACATGTTTTTTCTTTTCATATCTTCACTTGGAAAACTATTCTTCACTTCCTCTTTCTGTCCCAACTTAGTCTTCTTCCAAAAGAAGTCAGAGTCAAGTTTTCTGCTTTCTTGGGAAGAAGATTTTGTTTATGTCGTTCCTTAGCTTCAATCTTATTTTCACTGAAAATTTTAATCCAACATAGAAAGGAGTCTGATACATATGCTATCATACCAAACCAATTCTATGTTCCTTAGCAGTTCAGGAAAAAAGGTGGCCTCAAGCTTTTCAGCATAATAAAGACCAAAATGAAACCTGGTAATTTTTTTTTCCCTAATGACAGCATTTTCAGTCCGTCTTACAGGAACTAAGTATGGCTGCGGAGGAGGTGGCTGTGGTGCCTGCACGGTGATGATATCAACTTATGAGCCAGCTTCGAAGAAGATACGGTATCCTTAACAGAAAATTTTGAAAACCGCACAGAATTTTATGACTGTAGATACCATTTCCAGATATGAAACTGTAAAAGCAAAGTTGTAAAATCTGTACTTAATAGTAAAAGAATCCAAAGGAAGGGTCACTTTAATCCGAAGGAGAACGCTGTAAAAAATACTGTTCATTCAGCTATGTTGTAAATTTGCTGAAATATCATGCTCACAAATGCTTAATTTGCTCATATATGCTGACAGCTCCTGCAAAGAGTTTTCTCTTTAGGAGGCATACATTTAACACCCTTTGTATTGACCACTGGAATGTGGCTCCCACCTGCAGCTCTGTCATATGACGGATGGGAAGATAGGGCAGGCAGAAGTTTGAGTCTTACCAGCCCTCTAATACTAAACTACCTCCGTACACGCCACCCACAAAAAGGACTTTGAAACTCGAAACCAGAGTTTCATTAAACTAAAAACTGGAATAAATTACTTTTAAATTGAGAAAACTCCAGTCAAATTGTTAAATGGTAACATGTCATTGTCAACTGAATATTTTTTAGGTGGGGAAAAAGTAAAAATGTTCCAGTTGTTCCTTTTGACAATTGCATTACGCTGGAATGCAATACAAATGAAAATCTTTAAAGTTATTACAAGAGTTGAAATTAAAACAGTCAGAATGACACTTGAAAAGAAACATTTTAACTATAGTAAACCAAAACATTTTATTGCTAATGATGAAAAGCTTTGAAGAATTTTCATTTTTGTATGTTGTTCTTATTTAGAATGATATTTATTTTACATCAGAATTTCCTTTGGGTAGAAATTTGATTATAAATTTTCAGCAGTAATTCTTTACTTCCTGCAAACGGCTACACCAACCCTCCCTTCCCCACCTTCTTCCTCCAAAACACACTTGACTGGTTGCTTGTGGGCAAGAGAGAAATCAGAAAAGACAGAAGTATTAGGGAAGATATAAATTCTACAGATCTGTCCTCATAGATACGGTTTTTATACTAGGGACAAGAGATGCAGCTAGTAAGTGATCCCTTCTATAAAGCTTATTCTCTTCTTATTCCAAATGATGATAATGACTGCTTTGTAAGTATAAACTATGTCTTGATTGACGCAAAATAATATTCATGCATCTTTATTATAATAAAATAATATTCATGTTCTTTATTCTCCTTTATGTTCCAAAGACATTATTCAGCAAATGCATGTTTGCTTCCCATTTGCTCCTTGTATGGTGTGGCAGTCACCACAGTGGAAGGTGTTGGAAGTACAAAAACCAGGGTTCATCCAGTTCAGGTGAGAGTACAGTGTCACCGTGTAAGAGGATTACTGGTTTCTTCCTTTGTATGGGCTGGCTTGAGTGGCAGTGCTCTTAGGGCATGGGAATTTCACATGATGATTATTCTCCCTGCTAAGTGATAACAGAAGATAACCCAAGTTTCTGATGGTTGATTGATCAAGGCTGCTGCAATATGGCTCATGATGGATCTTGCTTTAATACTGACAGCCTGATCAAATAGTTGGTATGTAAGAATTGTTGGAGTGGATCAGGCTTGTGCTCTATTTGGGCTGACAGCACTCTATTTGGGCTGACAGCACATCTTGGACAATGCCCCTTTAGCTAATGTTTTAGTATGAATGTAAAAAGTCCACTGAAGGTTAATTAGCTTCTTTAGTAAGATGTGCCTGGGCATCACACCCAAAATAATTATTCTTATTTGAGATTGCTTAAATTGTTTTACTTAAAAAGTCTGATTTATTATGAAGGCAACATTTAGTATGGCATCTCCCATTTAAGAGAGAGTTCATTAGAATGGTGACGTACACTGAAAGGAGTGCTATTTGTGGTGTTTCATTTCAGGAAAGGCTTGCCAAGTGCCATGGCTCCCAGTGTGGTTTCTGCACCCCTGGAATGGTGATGTCCATATATACTTTGCTGAGAAACCACCCAGAACCAACTTCAGAGCAGATGATTGCAGCTCTGGCTGGTAAATATTGCCACTTTTTAATTTGTAGGTATGTCCTTGAACCATTTTCTTCAGATACTTTGTGTATGTGAGTGCATGTCTGTGTGAGTACACATGCATGCATATATGTATGTACTCCATACAAATTGTGCTTCCCAGCAGAGTTGCTACTGGATACAGATCTTGTATTCCCTGTCATTTGTTTCTCCTGGAAAATGAAGCATGGAACTGTGGATTGTTTCAGGGACAGGTGTTCAAAACATCCCCATATGTGTCTTTTGAAGTGCTTTAAATCAGATGTGCAAAGTGATGTCATATTGGAGAAGTAGCTGCATCTGAAGGTCTCTGAGATGCCCTTACATCTGGAGTTGAGAATGTCATAAGCCTCACAGGAGAGCCCCTTTGTGGTAGGAATAAACAGTCAAATAAGGTAGAGAGATGCAGACCATCTTCACTAAGGGAAAGCGTGAGCATTATTGCAGGTAAAATAGCCTTCTGTCATCTGTTCTGCGCTAGAGTCACAGTGGAGCCAAAGGCATTTCCTGTTCCTATGAGGTGAACTTAGATGGAGGTGTAATGGTAACCACCTTCACTATTAGAAATAAGTCAGGGGGAAGGAGAAAAACATTTTGAGTGGGTGAAGAATATTGTACAATCTCTTATTCTCCTGCATACTAAGCTGTAGTCAGCATTCCTTCTAGTGCAGCTCTCAAGTATTTCATACTCCCCTTGAAACAATAGCCTTTTTCCTCAGGAGCTGCAGGGTCCTAAGTCTTGGGATGCTGATCTTTTTTGTCTTTCAGAGAGCTAACACTTCTCCTTAAGCTTCAAAAACTCAAACCTCATATAAAGACATGACATTTTAAAGCCACATACTTTAGAACAAAGATTTTTCATACTGATTTCCTTTTTTCAGGGAACTTGTGCCGCTGTACTGGATATAGGCCAATCCTAGATGCCTGTAAAACCTTCTGTAAGGTAAGAAGTAGTGATGATAGGAATACTAGATTGTGCCCATTAGTGTATATATGTATACAAACCATCAAGATTTTCATTAAGATCATGTTTCCTCTGTTAAGGAATGTAGGTCCGAGTAAGGTGTATAGTAGCCTAACCTATTACAAAAACTGATTAACACAAATGAACTTGGTGTCTAGCCTGGATTATGAAGAATAATCTGAAGTTACTGTGCATCAGTACTGGCAGAATTTGGATCAATTTCTTAGTAATTTATCATGTAACACAACATGTCAGAAATCTACAGTGAAAGAAATGGGAGAGTGAACAGTGGGTAAAAGAAATAATGCAGACCATCTATGTGTGCTGTCACAAGGTCAACTGAATTTCAAATATTATGAATTATTTTGTATTAAGGAATTCAACATCCGATGATTTTAAGCTATTTTTGAATATCACTTCTTTTACACATAATCCTTCCAATTAAGCTTATTATTAAACTTAATCTAGAACTTTATTGAAATATAAAGAGACACTTATCAGCTTAAGCAGGCTTTAACTCATTGCCGTTCTGGGCAATATTTCACTAATGGAATATTCCTACTTTAGGAATCCATTTGTTGTCAAAAGAAAGCAAATGGAAAGTGTTGCTTGGATCAGGAAGATGACTTGTTTGACAAGGAAGAGAAGGTAGGGTTTTAAGTATTTTACCTGTCCTATTTAGATATAAACTTATAGAAAGAACATTGCACAGCTTTTTTCTTGTAATTAAAGTAAATGCAGTATACTCTGCCATTTTTATCCTCTACCTTATTCACTTTATGTAACAGTATTTGTAAAATAAGACATTTTATTATTCCTCAAAAGAAATTTGGAGATATTTCTAAAAATTAAGGATTCTCTGTGTATATTTGTATGAGGAGGCAATGATGTGGCAGATAGTTGGTATAAGGTAGTTTGGATCTCCAGAGCTGAGATTTGAGCAGTTCGTCAAGTTCAGAAATATTAATAGTCTCAGCTCTACTCATACAGTGATCATTATATTGTGCAAGAAATCAAGGGATGTGTGGAACTGTCTTAAATCAATGATCAGTGATGATCTGAATGTAACCACTGATCTCTTAGGAATCTAACTGCTGGCTTGAGCTTGAAGAACTGATACACTCTTAAAAATCACAATTATGATTGTAATTTTATATGAAACCTCTTATCCATACGAATATTTGACTTTGTTCTCAATTTTCTTTCAATAATATCTGATCTTTGCTTTTTGAGTACTGTAGGTTGGCATGAAACCGGCTACTTTCTTATAGTAGGACTACAGGAAGCCTGTAGTTAATCTTTCAGTTGCTTGCCTCTACACTGTCATTTGTCTTAGCAGTGAACTTTGAGAAACCGTTATGAACACTTCCTTCATCTCAGCAGCTCCAAATGATGCACGCTAATTTAGCACCAAATCCAAATGATAATGGAATAAGTAATTTTATACTGACTTCAGTGGGACCCTTATGGTTTGGTTTTGGTTTGGGTTTTTTTTTTGAGATGGAATTAACTATGAGAGAAAATTCTTGGTCTTTGCTTGTTTTCTTTCTTTTTAAGGTTTCCACCAGACTATTTTCAACAGATGAATTCCAGCCCTTAGATCCTACCCAGGAGCTTATATTTCCTCCAGAACTAATGGTAATTTTTGCTGCTTATAGACTATTCTTTAGTTCTGTCTTTTTCTTAGTAGTCCATAGTTCATATCTCATCCTGAAGTCCTGCTTAGCAGTAATTCATCAGAAGAAATGTCATAACACTTTAATATAAATCCAAAATTCTATTCCTTTTTTTTTTCCAGTGAGCTTATTGAATATTCACATACAAAAAATAATCATACTGAGAAAATGAAGTACAGAGTTAGGTATTAGGTGAGAAGACAAAGTAGTAACTTAAACTGGGTTTTCAGTGCAGCACCTGAAGATACAAATGCTTCTCAGCAAACTGAATGGCAAACCCTTTTTAACATTGGCAAAACAATGCATTTTCCCCATTTTGTGGCTTAATAGTTTTGTTGGTCTTTTCTGTCAAAATGTCAGCATCAGATAACCACCCAGACCGGGGAGTGTTTAGCCCCAGTGATTAAAGTATGACAAAGATATAAGCAGCTGAAATAAGGGCACTGGAATGGAAAGTGTCAGGCATCCTTAATTATTGACAGCAGTATTTGCCCTAGAAAAACTGAAAGCTGTTTGCTTTACATTGTTGTCAATCTATAGATTCAAAGCCAAATTCTATGTAACTAGCTGGCTGCTTATGGAGAAAAGTTGATAACTCTGGGACAGGGGTTCTTGACCGTGTATTTGTACCACCACTAGTTCACAAGCTGTTTCCAAGTGATCAGTGAACAGTGCTAGAACAGCGAGACACATCCACATGCATGCTTACTCTAGAAAGGGATGCTGCTGCCCGTGTCATTGGTGACCTCCAAGCAGCTAAGTGTGCAAACACCTCCCTAGGTACTTTTTATCACTTTTTTTATAACTTCAACAATTGCAGGATCTATTCCTACATTTTTTGCTTGGGGGCTATTTATTATCAACCTTGTTTATTAGCCCACTGGAATTAATTGAAGACATTTCACCCATGCAGTCTAGAAATTCACCACTGTGCAAAGAGCCAGCATAACAGTCCCATTTCTGTCCAGTTTTGAAGGATTAAGTAGAACTGCCATTGTTTAAGAACTTCTTTTGACTTTCAGTCTAGTGTCTATTAGACCTTGCACCTGTCTATATGACTAATATTTAAATCTGCCATATTTCCCCGTCAGAGAATGGCTGAAAATCAACCAAAAAGAACTCTGTTTTTTCGTGGGGAGCGAATGACATGGATTTCTCCTGTAACCTTAGATGAATTACTGGATCTGAAAGCTGCCCACCCCAAAGCACCTCTTGTGGTTGGGAACACCAGTGTGGGTATGTATACAATCAGAATGGCTCCTGTTGCCATAGTTCCAGTGTGCATGGGAGAAATGGGGCTACGTTTATCATTCTTTTTGCATTTTCATCCTTAAGCTTACTCTCCACTATGTTGGAGTTGTCATTATGGAAGATGTCTTTTGTCTAAGTCTATTCCTATTTGATAGGACCTGAGATGAAATTTAGAGGCGTGTTCCATCCAATTGTTATTGCTCCCTCAAGGATCCTGGATCTGAATGTGGTGAAACACACAGATGACGGTCAGTAGACTTCGCTTTGTTCAGACATAGGAGATTCCTCTGCAGTAAGGATGCTGCTCCATTCCATAGTGCTGAAGGTGTGAAGTGCTATGCAACTCATTCCTAAGCATGCTTGGTTCTTTCCCAGGTCAAGGTGGCTCTGGCTGCCGTCCCAGTGCATGATACAGTTTTGTCTTCATGACACAGTGCAGTACTGACCAGCAATATTATCCTGGGGCCCATTAGTCTGTGATGTCTGTACCATGCTATGCTGTATAGCAGAGAGAGACCCATACAGAACCACAGAGAGACTTAGCAACATTGCATGCTTGTCTACATTAGAAAACAGGCTGTGATTAAACTGGCATAGCTAATATGCAATAACTAATCTTGTTCTGAATCATAACAGCATTAATTATTGTAGATTAAAAATTTTGTACCTCAATTTATATATTTAAGATAAGCATGGAGATTTTTCTAGTTAAGGTTAGACTAGGTTTTAGTTTTTAAATAAATTCTATTGAAATTAGAAATAACAACTAGAAATAGATTTAAACTTACTATAATAGCCTAAATTAATGAAATATAAATTAAGTTGTGCAAGTTTACTGCCACAGTTTTAAGGAAAATCAAACTCTATATCTGATGAAAGTTACTTGCCATATGCCTGAAGCCACTTGTTTGAAGTGGTAAACTGTATTTGACAGTTTTGTCATTGCATTTAGAATATCTTTTTCATTTCAGATCAGTCATCCAGTTCTAGTCAGTGACGAGTTTGTTCTTACCCGAAAAGTGGTTGGGAATTGAAAGAAAGCAGGGAGAATGTTTACTGCTTCTTTTAATCTATAAATAAAATCTAGTTATGAGAAGGTGAGACTTACTAGTTCTAAAACTAGAGATATGCAGTTTAGTTTGCTAGCTAGAAATAGTATTTCCTCTCTTTAATCAGATTTAAATGCAAAACGTGTTTTGATTAAATTTTTGTTTTAAATACACAAAATTTAGTATTGCTGTACTCGATTAATAAAAAGCCATTTAAAAATTATGTATCTTTTTATTTATATTTTTGATTGAATTCCAGTGTTAAATATAAACATTCATACATAAATGAAGTCTGTTAATAATTTTGAATAGAAAGGCACTGTTTACCATTTTATAATATTGAAATTTTTATAAAGTATAATCTTTAAAAAAAAGTATAAATACTCAAATAAATGCCTACAGTTATATGTTGTCTTTCTAGTGGGAAAAAGAATACCATATTCAGTGTTAGGACTGTTTGGGTTTTTTTGCAAATACTACCTACCGATACCTTAGGAGAATAACTAGAATGTACGTATGCAAAGCAAGATCAAATTATGATAAAAATCATGTTTAAAAATAGGAAGAGCCTGCTGAAAGCATTTTGAAGCTGACTCACCTTTGGGTGAAACATAACCTAAACATTTACTTGTTCATAGTTGGTGCAAGGGAAGCAGTTGGAATGGGCAGCTGGAAGCAGAGAAGGGATTTCCCTTTTAGTAGAAATGGTGAGCTATTAGCTCAATTTCATCATTTCATGAAACTTTACCCTCAGCCTCCTGAAATGAAAGGTCACAGTACCTTTAATATGCAAAGGTCCCTCTCCTTATATCGGCCTGTATTCCACGTGAGCAATCCTAGCTCTACAGTCTGAACATAGTTTAAAACCCAGGCAATAAAGCAATGCGCACATTACACTTTCATAATCTTTTGGTTACAGGATTAACTCTGGGAGCTGCCTGCAGCCTCTCTCTAGTGAAAGCTGTCTTGACAAATGCAATCTCAGAGTTCCCTGAAGAGAAGACAAAGGTTTTCTGTGCTGTCTTGCAGCAATTAAGAACTCTGGGTGGAGAACAGATAAGAAACGTTGCTGTATGTTGTGCATTACTTGCAATAACAATTGTAACAAATTGTAACAAATGTGAAATTGCTCCTGACCACATGTAAAACTTGCATTTTTAATTCTGTTTTTAGCAACGAATTTTCTATCAATACATATATTTTGAGCTTTCTGTATGTATAAATTTGTGTATAGTCTTCACGTTATATTGTCACTTAACATAAAAATGTGAAGGTGATGGAGAAAGGTGACATAAATTTCTTTTTTTCAAGTCATTAGGTGGAAACATCATAAGTAGAAAATCAACCTCAGACTTGAATCCTATTCTGGCAGCCAGCAACTGTATGCTCAATCTGGCTTCAAGAGGTAAGCGGAGATAGCCTGCCTCTGTAGTAGTGCCAGAGGTACAGGATCCTATGGTATGGGGAGAGGGGAAATAACAGCAGGTGAGCATTTCTTAAGGAACCCTTTTACCGCTCTCATACAAGATCACATCTGCAAGAGAAGCAATTTGCAAATGAAGAACATGTCAAAGATTCTCATGTCAGGGGTAAGCATTCAGACCAACCAGATCACTTGTACTTCTGTGGGCAATGAATTGCTATAAGCACTCATAAAACCTCACCATTTGAGTAGCTGTATACTACTTCCCCGCCTCCCTGGTAGTTTTTTCTGTAATTGATGCTTTGCCCTGGTTTTAAAATCACCCTCTGGCCCTGAGAAGAACTCCGGCTTCTCGTTCCTCACAGATACTTCTGATACAGGAGCCACTAGTCCAGCACCATTTTCCATGCCCGTTTCCTCAGTTTCCTTCCATCACTGTATATATACTCCTCTCTGCCTGCTCCTTTTCTTGTGCACTATCTTACCATTGGAAGGTTGATGAAATTATTGGTAAACATGAGCTATCTGGTGGCCTGGAATTGCATTCTCTCCCTTCTAGATGGCTTATGTCCTTTTTGCCCTTGATCAAGACAGGGTGCGTGTTGCCATTTCAGACCATGTAATACTCCACTCAACACCCTGAAATACACATTGTTTAAGGGGTTGTTTCTGAGCCAGGATTTCTTGGAACAGATACACAAAAACTTATGCTGTGTGATTTCCATGACTTCTTCCTGCATAATTTGGCATTGAGAGGAAAAAAAATACCTGTCAGAATGTTGTTCTGACAAGTGAAAGTACAAACATTTGCATCTTCTTAACAATTCTAATGATATGCCTACTTATTTGAGTGATGAATAGGATCGCTGATTCATATCGCTTTCTCTTAACCTGGCAGAACTTTACTGCTGGGAGAGGGTTTTCAGCATTTTCACAGGTTTTTAACATATTTCTTTACCAAACGGTAGTCAGTGAAGCATAGGAAAAGTGGATTGTTCAAGAAAAGGAGGTTGCAGAAACACTATTAGTTCTTAGTATTTATGTTAGATCACAGTGTGAGAGAAAATGTGCCTTCCTAGATCCTGGCAGGCTCACAGGTGGGATTGGACAATAACGTTTACGTGTGTAAACCAACTGTATTCTGGATGGAATTGCAAAGGCGAAAATCCAGAAACGCCAGTGCTGCTATTCTTGACAGTGTTGTTTTTCAGATTCACACTTCAGCAAAATAAAATTCTTTTACTAAAGTTTTGCTGTCACTCTAGTTATATTTGAGGAATGCAATTTTAATGCTAAATGATATTCTAAGATGAACAGGTTACAGTGTCATCATCACACCTACCATGAAAAACGTGAAGAAAATAATCTTGCTGTAAAGCAGCCAGTCTTGAAGTGTCATGTTCATTGAATGTGAGGGGAGTATTTTAATATATGAACCTTTTAAAAATGGCACAGAAGATTATCTGGTTATAGAAAGTCTTGGGATAGGTCAGGGCTACTGCAAGATAAATATTGTCTAGTAATGAGAAATAATTTATTTTAAAATGCATTGGACCCTTTAGGTAGCATGTGAAAAGTACAAAGGACACAGAATACTAGTAAAAAATACACTTTGACTTCATCTGTCAAACACACATTGTTAAATTCCACACTGGTGAATCACTGTGGATTTCCATCTGTACCACGTTTATGCCTCTGTGTTCTTGCAGAACGACAATGCTACTTGACAGTTGTGTTACTGGTACAGTTGCAGTCCTACCAACAAAACTCCTTGAGCCAATGGAGCTTGTTTAATTAATAGAATTAATTATATGTGTTAAAATGTTGCATTTCCAGAAGTCTTGCTAGGTTAACTGTGCAGTGATATTGGCAAACCCGATGTAGCATAGATGAAGTTTAAGTGTTCAAAGGGCTTTTACAGATTTAGGTTCATTGCAGAATTTTGTCCTCTTCCCTTTTGCAAATCCCACCTTTAATAGTATATATCATAGAATGACAAACATAGTCACTTTTAGAGTAATCTGTCAAAAAGAGAAAGGAAAAGGCAATAGCATTTATTGCCCTCTGGACTCCTAGAATTGTTCAGAATCTCAGAACAAAAACAAACAACACAAAACAAAACTCAAAATTTTTTTTTTACTTTTGCAGCAGTTCTCTCCCTTTCAGTTTTCTTCCTCATTCTTTACATTTTAGAAGGAAAGGTAGTGATGACAGCAGTTGCAGAGATTTGGAACAGATTGACAGGAGTGGGGATGGGATCATTGTGGCAGTATCAGAAGGGAGAATTACGGAATGGGGATTGATCTCTGGGCATTTTCTTAGGACTCTGGTGTTATGATACTATGGAAGATGGAGCAGTCATTTGTATTTATAGAGCATACCACTGATAATTTGTTATGTAAACTCTGCAGTTATTATTTACTCAGGAAGGCTTCACGTATTTCTTGCCAATTAAAGTATGATTGATGTATGTTTGTTGCACAATTGTACAGAAGTTTCTGGATTTGGGATTTTTTTTTAGGAAGAAAGCGACAGATTCCTTTGAGTGATATTTTTGCAGATGGAGTTGGTAACAATACCATTATGCCAGAAGAGATCTTAGTCTCTGTCCATATTCCCTATTCTAGGAAGGTAAGTTACTAGTTTGTTTAGATTTGCTTTATGCAGAGTTAAACACTATTAAATAAAGAGCAGGAGGGAGCATAATCACTATGTTTAAACATATTACACTATTACAAATTAACACTATTACTGCTCGCTTTCTGAATTCCTTACATTTGAACCTGTCAGTACCATACTATCTCCCAGTTTCAGCCAAAAAACACAATTCAGCAGGTAGTTGGTGAAATATAAAGAGTGATACTCAGACAAAAGTTTACCCTAAAATGATGAGGGCAATAGCAATTGTCTAGACCCCCTACAGAAAGGGGTCTTGGACAAGCTGCCATAGTCCTCACCAAAGCAGGCTGCTCACCTGTGATATGGTTGGCATCAAGCAGGTAAAGCTTTGTCATCTCTTGAGGATTTTTCTTAAAATGAGATAAGATTGGACATGTGTGTGGTGCTTCCATAAATGTTGCTGAACTGAATAGTAGTTTTTAACTGGTATTGTGTTTGCAAGAGTGGATATGGGATCTTATGAGAGAATTATGGGTCATGTTATCTGAGTACTGAAGTTTGGCAATACTTCGAAGCCTCTAAGCTTTTGGTCTTGTTATAAATGCAACTCCACTCCACAAGATCCCTGTCTTCCAGCTATCTACCGTGAAAAAATCTAGGTCATCTGAACTGTGTAAATGATGGAGGATTGGGTATGGGCTGCTAGAAAATCAGAGATGGTAAAGCTACTGAAAGGTCAAGAGAAGGAAGTGTATGGTCTTGAATGCTCAGGAAGTTGTATTTGTGCTCTTGATTTTTTATTCTCTTGCTTCACATAGTGCAATAACAAGTTCTGCTTTCAGATACTTAACATGTCTGCAGGTTACCCACTTCTGTCTGATCTTGCTCAGGGGGAGTATGTCTCTGCATTTCGACAAGCACCAAGACGGGAAAATGCTCTCCCAATAACCAATGCTGGAATGAGAGTCCTTTTTGAGGAAGGTACAGACATAATAAAAGATTTAAGCATTTTTTACGGAGGTGCTGTCTCGACCACAATCTGTGCAAAACAAACCTGTTGGACACTTAACGGAAGGTACAATTTCTCTGCCTTCTCTATATCTCTTAATAAAGGGACTTTAAGAGCTTGGGTGTACTTCCTTGGAGCGTGAAAGTACAGAAATATTTTACTTGCCTGGCTGATGCCATTTATGTTCAAGTGAGTGATCTGGTCAAACCTTAATGATGGCTTTTCAGGATTATTACATTTTGGAGTCTGCACATGGGTGCAACTCTGGTGTGAAGTATGCAGAGAGATGAGATAGGAGCTGTGAGATAGGTGGATAAGGTATACGTAGTCAGTTGTGCACCTGAACCCGAGCATTGGTAAATGATGCTGTATCCCATAGGTTTGATAATCCCCCACTGTCAGTGTTCTTGAGTCCTTCAGTTTGGCTCTAATAGATACAAAGTTTGCGAACTTCAGACGTGCCCAATAAACTTAGGAGCACAAGTCAAGCCTTAACCTTTTCAGTATTTCTTCATCTACAAGATCCTAATAATCTCTGAAGCTAATCTCTGACATTCCCTCCCACTTTGCAGCATCTTTCCAAGGTCTGGAGGAACAAAATTACAAATAATTCAGGCAGTATAAAACCATTTATCTGAATGGAGTACCACTAGACTGTTTTACCATTTAGTATGCAACTGTTTCACTAGTTGAACTACTCATTATTTTTTGCTGCTTTACATGAGTAAATTTATTCTAACAGATTTATATTTTGATATTTAGGGTTATGTAAATATGGAGAACTAACTGTGTTGAGAGACTTCAAGGAGACAGCCTTTTCAGAAAATGTAACAATTATCCAGCACTAATTAGAACCCTTGAAAGCATCTACAATTTGTATCAATATTGTTATCCACTTTTCTTTAAATATAGGACAGTATTTGCAGAACAGTGATAATCTGTAAGGCTGTTAAATCAGCTTTAAAGCTGTAGTAGGGTTTTTTTATTTATTTATTTTAAAAAGGCTGGCATAGCACTCAATTCCATTGGCTTGAGGGACCTCACCTCTGTAAGCAACATTGACCTACACTGTTTTCAAAATTGCAGGCCATTATTAGAATCAATATTTTGACTTCACTGTGAGCAGGATTATGCCTGTGGTCCATGGTATGAATGTATTACTGCAATTTGTATTTATTTCTTGAGTTCTGGTCTGATTGTATCTATTATTCTTCCTGACAGACACTGGAATGAACAAATGTTGGATGAAGCTTGCAGACTAGTTCTTAAAGAAGTTGCTCTTCCAGGCTCAGCCAGTGGTGAAAAAGTAGACTATAAGAAAACTTTGATAGTCAGTTTCTTCTACAGATTTTTCCTGGAAGTATTGCAGTCATTAAAGACAACGGTAAATTAGTTCTCCATGTCTGCTTTTGTGCAAGCAAATGAAAGGTTTTTTTCTATCTGTTGATGGTTGCAATTTGTACAATGTGTTAAATATTATCTTTGGGGTTCAGATCTACAGAAGAATGTAAGTGCTGAACTCCCAAAGAGATTGATGGAGAGATGCCCATTTAACTTTTAGGTGCTCAGATACCTTTACCTTGGAAATTAGGCTTTACAAAAAACTGAGCAATGTTAATGCAACAATATATCAGTATTGAGCTCCCAGGCCCAAAGAAAACACACATGAGGTCTTACGCCATCTGTCTGTAGTTCAAAACATAAATAGAATAGAAATAAAGGCTTTGGAAAGCAACTGTAGGTGTTAAACCAACCCTCCTTCTTGTATGAGTTCTTGACTGGGAGAGGAGGATTCTAAAATTTCACTTCCCAATACATTCTAGGTGTAATTTACTTATTTTTGTCTTAAATCTGTTCTTATGAGGAAAAATATCCCTTTTGCCTTTTTCTTCTGTATTACCTTGAGCTCTTTCCCCTGAATTGTCATTACTAGGTAATTTACTATTACCAGGGATGATTCTGTGCCAGTTTTGGTCAGACCCCAGAACAAAGCTCTTCTGACTATCCCTGCTTTATGTTGCTTTCTGTAAACAAGAATATTTGTTGAATCCAATATATTTTTAAATATTATTTAGTGAAATCTCAAAACTCTACATTGTTTTAAAATTGTTATTTTAGAGCCTTTCTAGCTTGTGAGAGTTTTGAAGGAATTTCCTGTATAAAGAGTTTGTATTTGGTGATTTTGGTTGGTTTTTTTTAATGTTCAAAATGTGAGTTTTAGTAGTAATTCACTTCCTTTTCAGGATCCTTGCCACTATCCTGACATACCTATGGAATATAGGAGTGTCCTACAAGATTTCAAAAACAAAATGCCTCAGAGTATCCAAATATACCAGGCAAGTGATTTTATTCTAAGATTGTGCCGTGCTTTATAAGACTTGGTAAAAAGTCACAGTTTAAGCATGACCCTTGCTGTGAAGCTCAGGTACAAATCTTCCAAAGGATTGAAGGCAACAGGCTCTTAGTGGTTGATTTTAACTGTATCTCAATTAGAAAAACCTTGTCTGTAAAAATAGACTCATACAGGTATACTCACTTCTTCTAAACAGTTCTCAAAAGATAAATATGCTAAACAAACTCCATTGTCAGACTCTTAAACTTGGTATATTGCAGTGTGCAACCCAACTGGAAAAAAATTAGAAGAAAATAAAGAAAATTGAAAAGAACAGGTCTATAGCTATCACTATAGCATTCTTGTCTCAAGACACACTTTTCTTAAGATCTCAGAGGACGCTAAGGTCTTACTGTAGATTTAGCAATCAAGATGGAGTTTGTGATGGCTATCTGATCAAATTAACAAGAGTATTGAAGGAGAAGTCAGCAGTAGAGGGCAGCAAAGAACACCTTTTGGATTTTCTGAGCTCACCCTTGTGAGTAGATCATGGTGGGAACTCCTGCAAGGATTTTTGATATTTTGATACCCTCAATACACAAGTAAAAATCTCAAGTTTTTCAAAACCTAAAGAAAATGTAAATGAAATCTGTGTAAACATCTTTTTTCATTTTCAGATATTCTTTAGAATAACATTTTAGCTTTAAATACTTTGAATTTGTTCAAGTCATTATCTTCAGCTTCCTTCAGAGTTATCGTCAAAAAAAAGACACTACGGACTTATAAAAGGGGCCAGGATCAAAGGAACTAGTTCTCTATGGCTTTCAGCAATTTATTCCCCAGCTGCAAGAAAGTGACTAAACAACAGAAATGGAAACAATTTGTTATTCAGATCAGTTGGCACTGAGCAACAGAAATTATTTAGAAACCCAGAAAATCTGTTTTTTCACTTTAAATTTCTATCTAACTTTTGCAAGTCCCTATCTCTTGTCTGGAGTTCTTCATCTGAACATTATTAAGCTTTTAAAATTAAGGGGAAAAAAAGAATGTGTATCCTGAAAGATAAATACCTGGTCATTCTGTTAGTGGAAAAGTTGAGATGGTTTGGCTGAGACAGCCATTTGAGGAACTTTAGGCAGTCAAGTGAAAAATGTCTGTTCTTGGCCTTGGGCTAATAGCAGACAGTGTGCCAGAAAGTGCAGGAGGTAGAAATGTGTAGCCAGAACACTTGTATGCTGGCAGCTATAGAAGTTGTTGAGTTGTGAGCAATTAACTAGCTCTAAATGTAGAAAAGGAAAAAGTTAGTATGAACACTGACCCAGAAATTGGAAAAGTGCTCTGGAAGTTGGCAACAATTAGTTGGTGTGGCAGAATGAACTGGCAACACTGAATTAACTTTCAGGAAAGACTTAGCAAAATAAGGTTAATAAGGCACATACACAGGTGCAAGGAAATAAAATTGGGAAGGAAATATTTAAACAACATTTTCTCACTGATTTATGTTGATCAGTTGCAATCTTGCAGTGAGGAAGACAAATCCTAGGAATCACTGCAAATAGCTCAAAATACAACACCAGACACTGGTAAAATACAGAGCAGAATCTTGTGAGAATAATTTGGAAAATTATCAAAGCTTCATGACACCAATCAGTAAGGGAGGAAACTGTCCTTCTGAAAAAGAAGTGCTGTTTGTATCACTATGATGTAAACGATTAAGGAAAAAATCCAAGTAGACAAACCTGTGCAAGGCTCTTGGAAGGCTCCTTAAGAGAAGAAATTGAAGAAATCCCCAGGAGCAGCAGTCAGGTCCTGCATCCACATCTGTTTACAATACTGGAACCAGAAGATGATAATATGAACAGTTGTTCCTTCATCTGATTTTTTGATTACTTTAAGAATAACATGACTATTCTTTTTTTAACTGTTTGGGGGTGTGGGGTGTGTATTTTTGACTGTACAGGGCATAGGGCTGAGTCAGTCTCCCCAGGATCCTGTAGGACGCCCCATTATGCACCAGTCAGGAATTAAGCATGCCACTGGTGAAGCAGTTTACACTGATGACCTTCCTTCTGTGGATGGGGAGCTCTTCCTGGCTGTCGTCACTAGTTCCAGAGCTCATGCTAAGATTGTGTAAGTATTCAAAGTGTATCTGAAGGAAGTGTTATTATGAATTGCTGTCTGAGATTTTTAGAGCAGACTAATGAGTTATGTGTATACAGAAAAGCATGCCTGATACCCGCACTGGCTCAGGTGCTGGAAGCAATATTGTTGCTCTAGTAGAAGGCTCTGTTTGGATTTAAGCGTCTCACTCCATATTACTGCACTAATAAAGTTGAACTGTTCCTGGTCCATGAGCCAGCCTAGAGCTAGCCTAGGTACCTCCACAAATTGCTGAGCTGTGCAGTGCAAGCAGGCACCGAAACTCAGCTTTACCAACATAGCTTTGAAATCTCAACTCTATTACGAAAAAAGAAAATTGTTCAAAATGTAGGAAAGTGTTGCAACATTGCAGCAACAAGGTAGCAAAGCTCATATGAGGCCTTATAGGAGAGGAAGAGGGTTTTATTCTGAAGGAAAACTGTTTTTACTTATGTTTTTATACTGCCAAGACACACCTGTTCTAGCAGTTTGTTCAACATTCAGGCACCAAAATGCACATATCCAAGTTGTCTGCCCAGTGTTCAGGCACCAAGACGTGTATCCACGTGGCCTGGTCAGGATTAATTGTGATGACAGAGAGGACTGGGGCTGCTAGCTATAGAATCCTTGTCATATTTCCTGGCTTATTCTTAAGTTGGTGATAGTATGCTGGGTTTGGATGTGCTCTTTTTGGTACCATCTAGGAGCTGACATCACCCCCGTCTCTGTGAGTCAGTAGGATTTATTCACTCTCCTTTGTCTTCTCATCTGGGTGTCCAGAGAAGATGCCTGTAGGTGTGCTGGGATCTTGATGACCTGCTAAACTAGGTGTTATCAAAACATGGCATTCTTACAGACTTTCTGCCATTCTTTCTGATCCTTCTGTATCCATAGATTCTCATTCATTCTCCATTTATACTGGTCTTGCCATTTCTATTATAATTCTCTACATGAACTCTCCATTTGTAGATGCTTATTTGTATCAGTTTGATTATATGTGTAGATGAGGTCTTAGGAAGTTGCAACTGTAGCATTGGAATTGTGCAGTGATTTTTTTTAAATCAGCGCAGTCTAATGGGCCAATGATTTCCCTGTTGCATCTAGAGTATTTCCTAGAAACAAAGCAGGTTAGTAGAATTTTAAATTGCCTTTGACCTGCACTTCTTCACATGCCAGAGATAGAAGACATGTCTGAACCTCTGAGCATATCCTGGCTGTACAAGAAACATATCTCTGTATCGTGTTCCCTTCGTCTGTTCAACGCTTTGTGAAAGTAATGAATTACACTTCTCTCTTCCCATATCTCAATCAGATCTATAGATACCTCAGAGGCTCTAAAAGGACCAGGTGTGTTCGATATCATAACAGCTCATGATGTACCAGCTACAAACGAGTTTTACTACTCCGATGATCCGGAGATTATATTTGCAAAAAACAAGGTATAACTACTATCTTTTTTTAACCTATTTTCTTCATTTTTACTGGTTTTCTTCAGATTTTTATAATGAAATATTACTTGCTGACTCTTGAATTTCTGTATTGTATGTACGTCAAGGAATCACATTAGGCATATAACAAGGTAAATTCTTACAGTTTTTTCCCACTCCCTTTTCAACTTCAAAATAGCTGATGTGCGTTATATTCTGCCTAGAGAAAAATATATAAATTGGAATAATACAGATTAAACCTTACAAACCCATCTGAGTTGTTGGAAGAGTATATTTCGTTGAAAGTTAGGCTCCCAAATCACTTACGGAATCACATTAGGCATATAACAAGGTAAATTCTTACAGTTTTTTCCCACTCCCTTTTCAACTTCAAAATAGCTGATGTGCGTTATATTCTGCCTAGAGAAAAATATATAAATTGGAATAATACAGATTAAACCTTACAAACCCATCTGAGTTGTTGGAAGAGTATATTTCATTGAAAGTTAGGCTCCCAAATCACTTATCCATTTTTCAGTAGTGTATTTTCCTTGATTCCCTAGTTGTACTGGTATTTCTAATAATTTGTTAGCTTCGTGGATGATCTAAAAAATACAAAGATCCTAAGTCAAAACAAAATTCTAAAAAGGAAACATGAATAGTGGGTACACAAAAGAAGAATATCAGCAGCACATATGGGAATAGTTTGAATCCACTGTTTTATTAAGTGATGTGTATTTTACAGGTGATTTGTGTGGGTCAGATTGTCTGTGCTGTGGTTGCGGATTCAGATGTTCATGCCAAACAAGCAGCTGCAAAAGTGAAGATAGAGTATGAAGTGCTGGAACCAGTGATCTTAACAATTGAGGTACTGATAATTTCTTTTCTCTTGCTTTTTTATTGTTTTCTCTATATAATTAATGGAAGAAGCAGTTCACACTCTTCACTTGCTTTTTAAACATGATTTTCTAAGGAAACAAGGTGAATATGAACATCCAATTAACCAGTCTGTCAGTCTCCCTATAAATAACTTTTCAATCCTTCGGATAATTTTGACCGCTTGTGATAGATAGGCAACAGCCTCAAAGGTATTAAGGTCCCACAAGTTTCATCATAATAAACATAAGAGTAGAAAAGAAGAAGTCTTTTAATGTTCCCAGTGAGGAAAAGGCAATGAGCACGCTGGTTGTTTATAATTCTTTTGGTAGCTACCAGTTGGTCAATCAATGTGTGTATATTGGCTGAACGATCAGCTCCTGATTATCTGTAGCATTTTGTATCTGTTGTCAGGCTAGCAAGCCAACAAAGTTAGGCTGGAGATGTAGAAAGTGTTGGGGGATGTGAGGGGAAAGATGTTAGGGATATAAAACATTTTAGAAATGTGATGTGGGAGTCATAAGGGAAATGGACTTATGCTGGGTTAATGAGATGAGTGGAAGTAAGGAACTAAGGACATATTTGCAGGGAACCAGAATTAGTTCTGGGAGTCACTTTGCAGCTGGTTTCCATAATGTGTGGGGGGTGTAACAGCACAGTCTGTCTGGTATAAAAGTAGAAGTAGTCTCTTTTTAAAGACTGGCAAATTTTACTAATATTTCATTACAGTTGAAAGTGTGACGAAGTCTTATTAGAAATAAAGCAAATCATACTTAATAAATAGATTCTACTTTTACTTAGTCCTTGTGATTTCTTACCCTCTTAATGGCATCACTCTTTGGATGATGGGGTTGCATTCTTATTCTGTGCTCTTTTGGTCATTTGCTACATGTATGAGAGGGAAGAGCAGGTAGAATAAACTGAATGCATTTTCTTCAGAAACTGCTATCATCAGTAACGCAAGATACATCAGGAAAGAATTGCTGAAACTGAATACACAAACTCATCAACAATGACAGTAAAGCGATGAAATACAGTTGTTCATTGACTTTGATAGCTGATGGTTCAAATCTCTGAAGAGAATAGTGTTTCTCCTGAGAGTAAAATGCCACAACAAGCTGAGAACTTTGCAAATACTTTAAAAAAATATTTCTCTTTTTCTCCACTGCAGGAAGCTATAAAGCACAACTCGTTCTTTGAGCCAAAAAGAAAATTAGAACACGGAAATGTTGATCAGGCATTTGAAACTGTTGATAATATAATTGAAGGTAAACTGCAGAATACATTTGGTGAGAAATTGTTGTCAGTATTTGGGTTTGTCTGCCTGTTCTTCAAGTCCCAGTTCTACCTTTTTTCCATATAGCCATTAGGCCTGAGAAAGCTCTTGGTCACCTGGAAGAAAGTGTGATTAAACCTAGTGGTCTTGTGGTCCTGCTACTACATTCAAGCTTTCTGCATCTCTGTCCTTGAAGCAGAATCACAGAATAATTACGTTGGAAGGGGGACATCTATTCCAACCTCCTGCTTAAAGCAGTTGCAGTTAGAGCAGGTTACTAAAGGCCATGTCCAGTCAGGTTGTGAATACCTCCAAAGATGGAGATTCCACAACCACTATAGGCACCTCTTCCAATGTTTGACCACTTTCATGGTGAATTTTTTTTTTCTTATATTGAGTTGGAATTTCTTGTGTTCTTATCCTTCCACTGTGTATCTCTGAGAACAGTCTGGCTTGCTCTTCTGTACACCCTCCCATTAGGTAGTTGTAGAGAGCAATAAGATCTCCCCTTAACCCTTTTCTTCTTATGGATGAATAAACCCAGTTCTCTCAACCTCTTCTGATACATCCTGTGGTCCAGCCCCCTGACCATCTTGGTGGCCTTCTTCTTGACCTGGTCCAGTATTTCCATGCTTGCTTTAATTTATCTATGTTTTATTTAATATTGTCACCACTTGTAGGCAATATTGTTCCACTATTAATCAAGTTCTATTGATGCCACTGGAACAAGACCAATTTAATTCTGCAAGGAGTTTAATCTTTGTTTTTATTTTAGATGTTGCTCCTTCATACAAGAAGCATCATAAGATTTGACACCGATTACCATAATTTACATGATGATGGGCAGTTAGTTCTTTCCTAGTTCATTTCTTCTGTCCTTTTCCCTCAGTAACACTTGTGTTTTTCTCTTTGGGTCAGGGGAGATTCACATTGGGGGACAGGAACACTTTTACATGGAGACTCAGAGTGTGCTTGCTGTTCCAAAAGGAGAGGATAAAGAAATGGATGTGTATGTGTCGACACAGCATCCAGCAATTATTCAGGTAATACAGAGCATTCTCAGAGAAAGTGGTTGAACATGTGACAATAGAGCTTTTTAAGTTTGGTTTACAAATCTATCTTAACAATTTAGAAGCAGTAGGAACGTGAAATTGCACATCTGGATTATCCAACAACAGCTGCTTTGTCATACTGCTGTACCCTGATAAATGCTGACCACTAAACTGTGAGGATAAGGAGGAAGTAAAAGTCTTTTATTTCCCTTTGAACAAAGTACCTCATGCCCCACTATTGTAAGCATATTGACAGCTGGCTGAACATGAGCCGGCAGTGTGCCCGGGCGGCCAAGAAGGCCAATGGCATCCTGGCCTGTATCAGAAATAGTGTGGCCAGCAGGAGTAGGGAAGTGATCGTACCCCTGTACTCGGCACTGGTGAGGCCGCACCTCGAATACTGTGTTCAGTTTTGGGCCCCTCACTACAAGAAGGACATCGAGGTGCTGGAGCGTGTCCAGAGAAGGGCAACAAGGCTGGTGAGGGGTCTGGAGAACAAGTCTTATGAGGAGCGGCTGAGGGAACTGGGGTTGTTTAGCCTGCAGAAAAGGAGGCTGAGGGGAGACCTCATCGCTCTCTACAACTACCTGAAAGGAGGTTGTAGCGAGGTGGGTGTGGGTCTCTTCTCCCAAGTAACAAGCGATAGGACGAGAGGAAATGGCCTCAAGTTGCGCCAGGGGAGGTTTAGATTGGACATGAGGAAAAATGTCTTTACTGAAAGAGTGGTTAAACATTGGAACAGGCTGCCCAGGGGGGTGGTTGAGTCCCCATCCCTGGAGGTATTTAAAAGACGTGTAGATGAGGCGCTTAGGGACATGGTTTAGTGGGCATGGTGGTGTTGGGTTGATGGTTGGACTCGATGATCTTAGAGGACTCTTCCAACCTGAATGATTCTATGATTCTACGAAAAACTCCCTGTGGAGTGCTGAGGCTCATCCATCCCTGTTAGCTTTCCATTGAGGTGAGGAGCAATCAGCACCCTGCAGAGTCAGAGTCTGCTGAGGGTTTGATCAATTCTAATAGCTGTAGGTGAGACTGCTGCTCCATGTCAAAATCATAATCATAGAATGGTTTGGGTTTGAAGGAACCTTTAAAGATCATCTAATCCAATGCCCCTGCCATAGACAGGGTTATCTTTCACTAGATCAAGATTCTGAAAGCCCTGTCCAACCTGACCTTGAACACTTCCAATGACGGGCCGTCCAAAACTTCTCTGGGCAACCTGTTCTAGTGTCTCACCACCCACATTGTAAAAAATTTCTTCGTTATGTCCCATCTTAACCTACCCCTCTTTCAGTTTAAAACCATTGCCCCTTGTCCTGTCAGTACAGGCCTTGGTAAAAAATCTTTCTGTTTCTTATAAGCCCCCTTTATATATTGAAAGGCCACAATAAGGTCTCCCTGGAGCCTTCTCTTCTCCAGACTGAACAACTCCAACTCTCTCAGCCTTTCTTCATAGGAGAGGCGTTCCAGCCCTCTGATCATTTTCATGATGGTAAATGGTAAAGCAAACGCTGACATAGCGTATGGTCTACATAGCAATAGCTATGGTGCATGAAACTGATAGTATTTCAGATTCAACACTGGCATTTTGTGTTCAAAGCCCAGTTCAGCTCCTTTTATCATTTCCATTATTATTGTATTGCCAATAGCCAAGAAGCATGAAGAACTCTGTGTTTGAGAAAATGATATGAAGCAAGAATATTCTTGACACTAGCGAGACCTTAGATTGTTAAAAAACAAATGGTTTTCTTTGAATTAAAAATTAAAATAAAATTTATGATCTTAGTAATAAAAATAATAAAAACTGTATTCTAATCCCTTTTTCTTATACCTGAAGCTTCTTACTGTTTAGGTAATGAAATCCAAGGGTATTATTCTTCACTCTAGTCCATGGCCATTTCACAGTCTCCATGGTAGAGATTTTAAATGTGAACACTGCTGAGTGTTTGTTGTTATCTTTTTCTTGCTCTTTAATCTAGGGTTAAGGAAAAATTATTTTCATTTGATTTAAAACAAAAACCCAAAAACTAGAAACATCTATGGAACCCTTTTCTAGGAAAGTTTTTTATTTCAGAACCTAACTTTTAGGCTTAGTTTGAGTTAGCATAAAAGATTGAAACTGGTTTTACAGGAGATGGTAGCTGCAAGTTTAGGCGTCCCAGCCAACAGGATCATGTGCCATGTTAAACGAGTTGGTGGAGCTTTTGGTGGGAAACTCCTGAAAGCTGGCTTACTGGCATCAGTTGCTGCAGTGGCAGCAAACAAGTAAGTGTGGCACGTGTGTATTGGGATATGAAGAGAAAATGGGGTGAACAAGTCTTGCATTTTGGCTAAAATGCTCTCTCCTTTCCCAAAGTTGCTAGCCAAAAAGTCATAAAATCCTGACTGTTGCACATTTTGTAAGACTGTTCAGTGCATTTCTTTGTTTTGTCTTGTTAGACTGCTTATGTTAAGCAGCTCTAGCCTCAACTAAATTAATGGGACTTGAAGAAATTGGTATTAGAAATACCAAAGCTAGAAATATTCTTGCAATGATTGAGCATTTCAAAAGGGCCTGTCCCTAACTACTGAGGCTTTGTATGTACATTCAAAACATGACATTAACCATCCAGATGTGAACTTCACTGGCACAGCAGGATGAAGAAGGAAGAGTTCATGAGTGGAACTGCTTTTAAGAACAAGTAGTTCTAGTTCAGTCCCCAACATCTTTCAGACAAAATTAGCTTAAATCTATTAGATATTATGTTTTTGCTGATACTACTTTGAATTAGTTTAGGAACCACAACACATAAAGCTCCATCCCCCACCCTCCAAATTTGGCAGGACAATTTTGGCAATTAGCTGTCAGGGGATAGTAACCTCTTTTATAAGCATAACTGATTTGCTGCAGAATGCACAACAGGCTACATCCTGTCTTAGAGAAAATGATCTTGTAATCTGAGTGGTTAGCTCAATGCATTTCTCTTGTTACTACTGTTGTACAAACTGCTGTCGATTATTTTTGGCCATGTGTTTTGGATTAACCAGGCCATGCTAAAAATAATCTTTTTTTATAGTTTAAACAATCTTTTTTTAGTGTCAGGACTTTATTTTACATCTTATATCTATTTTTTCAAAGGTAACTATTTTAAATGGTATATGCATTTGTAGACTAATTTTCATATTTTTATTATTATCCATGTTTTGGTTTTATTCCACTAATAGCTGAATAGCTAAGAGGCGACTATTTCTTGCTTAATGTTGAATGCTAACTGCTGTTAGCTCACTTAACGCCATTCAGTCTCAACACTGAAATAACAATTTCTTCAGAAGAAGTCTGCACTGAGTTATCTCATTGGCTTTCAAGAGATGAAATGAAAATTCTGACATGATTGTAAATGCGACATGATTGTAAATGCAAAAAAAAAAAAAAAAAAAAAAAAAAAAAAAAAAAAAAAAAAAAAAAAAAAAAAAAAAAAAAAAAAAAAAAAAAAAAAAAAAAAAAAAAAAAAAAAAAAAAAAAAAAAAAAAAAAAAAAAAAAAAAAAAAAAAAAAAAAAAAAAAAAAAAAAAAAAAAAAAAAAAAAAAAAAAAAAAAAAAAAAAAAAAAAAAAAAAAAAAAAAAAAAAAAAAAAAAAAAAAAAAAAAAAAAAAAAAAAAAAAAAAAAAAAAAAAAAAAAAAAAAAAAAAAAAAAAAAAAAAAAAAAAAAAGAACTCGGACATAGCTTTAAGCATATATTTAAGCCTATTAAAGTTAAGTTTAATCTAAATGCATGTTTATATGCGTGGCTAGGTCTGGATACATGATGAATAGCCATCTTGTTAATAACATCTCTTATTTTGACTGAAATTTGACTTTTCTTTTGTTGATTTAGAACCAGCAGAGCAGTCCGTCTTATTCTGAGCCGAGGGGATGATATGTTAATCACTGGTGGCCGACATCCTTTTATTGGTAAATATAAAGTAAGTGCCACAAGAAAAAGTACCTGCCCATTTTCTGTGAATAAGTATTTCAGTGTTACTGGTTAATATTTGTTCTATTAATGAAAATTAATATAATAAATTCAATTTTAAAACAAAACTACTTGCCAGGAAACCAAGAGATTGTTACTGTACAGTCCTTTCTCTGCTTCTGCCTCTATCTCTGCAGGGTTTTGTTTTGTTTTTTTCTAGTCCCTTCGTGTCCTTTTCCTTTTATAGCTCTTTCTGTCTTTCTTTCTGGGAATGGGAAGCCAAGCTAGCTCAGACTTCTTCTGCAGAGGTTTATTTTAAACCATCCATATGGTTAGGTTCACACAAAGGAGCAGCTAGTTTTTCACAGAAACAGTGTCATACAGAAAACTCACCCTATGGAGGAAATTAATCTCTTCCCTGCTCATGCACTGTCATCAGTCATAAGTATTCATTAGGACAATTTCTGCCTTCTTTTCCATCTCTACTACATAGGTAAAGTAAGAGAAGTTTTATAAGATGCTTCCCTTAAGTTGAAAATGAGTTGTAGCTCATGGTTAGAATTCAGGAACTATTAGTGGCAACAGGTGAAAAGAGAGATGTGAGATAAAGATAACATTTCTTCATTACGAAAAACAAATGTCATACTCCATCTGCCAGACACTATTCTTACAGTCAGAGTGGGATTTCACTTTGTCTACAGTGAACATTCCTAGATGACACACTTAGCCATCTCAGGCAATACACAGGAAGCCACTGGGCTTCCCTGCTTCTTCCTTTCCCAGTGGGCTGATGTTGCTTGTTATATGCTGTACCTATACAGATCACAGATGCCAGGCGGGAAAGCCGATATCTTAGGAACATACTTTCTTCCTCTCTTGCCCTTCTATAGTTTCAGTGAATGCTGCCCAGAAATTAATAGTGCGGTATGACCCTAATTGTGTGGGTTACATTCATTTTCAAAATATACAAGCACTGAAGAAATGAATGAGTGCCAAAATCTAAATAAGTTATTTTTGATCCTTCTAGGTTGGCTTCATGAATAATGGTAGGATCATAGCTGTGGATGCCAAATACTACATTAATGGAGGATGCACCCCTGATGAATCTGTCCTGGTAAGGCTTTTATAAGCTGACAAATCATATAACATGGAGGAATCATCATCTGGAAAATTATGAAGGCCAAATTCCCTTGCACATGTATTGTTAATCATATAGCCTGCTGATGTAGGGACTGTGGGTTGCTGGAAAATCTACACCTAGTAGTTTAACCTTTCCTTATTCAGTTCAGTGAAACACTACTACTTTTTGATATTTTCCTACTTGTTCACTTCATGAATGGTTTCTCAGGCTTATTTTCCCATTATAAACATGTCAATTAACAATGTATTCCTTTTAAAATACATAGTACCTGCATTTATGCCTGCCTAAAGTTTTATGTCTACAAGGCTAGGAAGACCTTTCTTAGCCTTCAGAAAATTCATAGTGATAGTTGTCCTGTTACTATCTCCTATGCGTTTCTGTACTGGATCTGCATTTGTTGGGCTGTATACCTCAGTTCCTCACTTATAGGTCTGTAAAGTATAAAATGTTGCTTGCGTTAATATCAGTCACTAGCTATTTGTGTTTGCATAGGCTATTCTAGCTCTAACAAATGTCTGTTGAGGTTACTACCCCTTATCTGCTTGTCATTGCCCCACCTATGGGTATCTTCTGCACTCTGAAATCTGTCAGTGTAACTGCGCATGCTATTGCTGCCTAACCTGGTTCTGAAAAATAACCTGGGTTAGAAAAAAAAATCCATTATTAAAATCATGTACATTAATGAAGATCACATGTCAGAACCATCTTAAGAAGAAATTCTACAATGATACAGTGAAGCTGGTGGACCTAGAATTGGAGGCAGTGATAACCGAGTAACCTTTCCACCCAACTCAGCTGCAGCTGGAATAGCACGTGATAACCGCCTAACTCTCTAACATCACTCCCTAATTAATTAAATCAATAAGCAGTGGTCTAGCTGTGTGATTCCATTTGATTCTATTAGTATAGCATTAATAATTCAACACTTTTAAAAGGAGAAATAGGTTTATTGGAAATAAAATTATAAGCTTTACCAGATTTGCAGTCCGGTTTTTTTTCTGGGCCAGTGTGACTTATCTGTGTATTCCCAAGACAGTATTTTGGGATTTATTCTTTCTTTAGAGAGGACCTTATTCTATGGGAGCCTAACCCTAGAGAGATCCAAGATGCTTGATGCTCGATGCTCATCGTAATAAAGACTGGTCTTCCAGCATGGCAGTTGAATACCAGTAATCTATGCTTAACTTAGTTATTGTTCAGTCAACAATTAGTAATATGTTTTAACTCTCTGTGATTGCATCAAGATTAGAACAGACATTTCTGGGAAGAAACTTCGGCTTAGCTAAGGGTTGTATTATAACAATACATTGTATTCACTCTGATTTATGAATAACCCTCTTAAGACTGATAGGCTTCATACACATACTTTCTCTGAAGTCCATAAAAGTTGTGGTCATAATAAAAAAAATAGTAATATGTTTTAACTCTCTGTGATTGCATCAAGATTAGAACAGACATTTCTGGGAAGAAACTTCGGCTTAGCTAAGGGTTGTATTATAACAATACATTGTATTCACTCTGATTTATGAATAACCCTCTTAAGACTGATAGGCTTCATACACATACTTTCTCTGAAGTCCATAAAAGTTGTGGTCATAATAAAAAAAACCCAAAATATGCCTCTTTTTTTTTTTTTTTTTCCCAAAAAAAAATTTTTAACATTTCAACTTAATTCCTAAGTGAAAAGGTAGCATTATATGACATTATTCATATGCATAGTTATTACAGCAAAACTATCTTCAGTTGTTTCTATGCAGAAATGTTTTGAAGTTTATTGTTTAAAGCTCATTGGGAACAGTAGGAATACAGGCTTAAATTTGCTATTCTGAGAAATCTACTTAACACTGAAGAGAGCCAGTGGCCTCTTCATGAGGCATCAAAACATTTTTTAACTTATTTATTTATTGTCATACTGACTCCTAGAGCCTAATTTGAGGTATCTAATATGGGATTTTCCTTTTCTTGTGTTTTTGTGTTTGTCATGTGAAATCTCTAAAAGAAAAATGTAAGAACCAGAAGACACTGTAGACTGCAGTACATTGCTTTCTGGTGGAACTAAACCTTAACTGAATTTCCATAGGACATGATAATTCTGAATGCTTTCATCAGTTCCTTTCATAGCTTCTATTGCTTTAAATCTAATCTGCCTATTTTTAGTTGTGTGTGGCTTTTGATATCGAAGTAGGAGCAAAATCAATCGCAAAATGAAGTATCTGTTACATCCTTAACTACTGACCAGCACTCAAGTACTAGTAACATCAGCTGTGTTCTGTGAATATCAAAAAAGAACTAAAAACTAATATGCTGCATGAGAAATGTATAAGTAAAGCCTGTATGTGTGCATAAGAGTAATCTTACTACCAGTGATTAACAGAAACCCAATTTTAAAGCTAATTGTCTCAAGTTAAGGCCTTTATATGGGATGAGGAAGATTTAAGTGTGAATTTGAAGCAGCACTGTTCTGACTTTTAACTATACCCGTTTGTCCCCTACCTCAGGTAGCAGAAGTATCCTTATTAAAAATGGACAATGCATACAAGTTTCCCAACTTGAGATGCTGGGCTTATGCCTGCAAAACAAACTTGCCATCAAACACAGCGTTCCGAGGGTTTGGCTTTCCCCAGTCAGCACTGGTGACAGAAACTTGGATAACAGGAGTTGCAGATAAAACTGGTTTATCACCAGAAAAGGTGACGAAATGAAGACATCTTCTCTCCTGAAATGAAGTGTATGCAGTTGGAAAGTTAAAACCCTTTAGATTAGCTCAACTGTTTGAACAGATCTTTTATAGGTCAAACATAATTTGTGCTAAAATTCTTTTTTTTTAATCAATGTCTGGTTGTTGAATGAATAGCATGCTTTTACAAACTGAACCAAACTGGTAATTGTTCACAAAACTTATGGTAATCTTCTTGTTGTCTACTAGTCCCCCCAAATGGTCAGTCTGCCTTTAACAGGATTGTGTAATAGCTGTTAATTTTATTATTTCAGATTAGGGAAATAAATATGTATAAGGAGGACAAGCAGACACACTTCAAACAAAAGCTTGATCCACAAAACTTAATACGGTGTTGGAATGAATGTATGGAGAAATCTGCATACCACAGTAGAAAAACAGCTGTCAATGAATTTAACAAACAAAATTACTGGAAGAAAAAAGGGATTGCCATTGTACCAATGAAGTTTCCATTTGGACTAGGCACACGTTATCTTTCTCAGGTTAGTTTCTTTAAAGAATAAGTGAGCTAAGCTTTTTATCCATAGAAGATTACAGTTACTCTACCTTCGGATACAAAATGTGTTATCTTTCAACTTCTGCAAAACTGTCATCCTCCTAATGGTTGTTCCCTGAAGGCTACGCTAGCTTCTAGTGCTCTTCAAGCTGAGATCAAAGTTGTTTGGTTTTCAGGACCCAGGCAGCTTGGACCCTGCCTACTTAAAGGCCAGTCCCATCTCTTGTGACGCGGTATTGGTATAGATGAGTTGAGCATTTTTATGAAAAATTTTTGAACACTGATGGCAAAGTGTTCATTGGATAAGTTATCCATTCTAGCAATAGCTCTGAGCTTACTCTTTCTGACCATGGGGGTACTATGGGATGCTGTTCTTAAAGACTTAACCCTTTGATGTCATCAAAGACTAAGTTTAAGGAAGGAAAGGAGGACAGTAATATTTTTGGTCTTTGTATTTTGTTTAATGTAGGTGTCCAGTGCTTCTGGAATAGACAGCATTTTATCAATTGAAAATTAATTGACTGACTTGTATCGTATCATACTGGCTGTCTCTGTTCAAGAGTAAAGTCACAGGGTCTTTGTAGTCTACAGTGCTACTTCCAACTGAGTCCAGGAGGAAAATCTCATTCAGAACCTTCCTGCTGTGTCCAATACTGACAGCCTGCCCAACCCATGCGGTTGAAAAACCTGTGTCCAAAGGCTCTCAAACATTAAGGAGAGAGAAAATGGAACTTGCAGCAATTTGCATGTTCGGCCGCTAGTGAGGGAGGTCCTCCAGCTTCTTTTTTAACCATTGAGATACTGTTGCCAGGTGTAGATTTGTTTCAGGATCTAGCAACAGAAAAAGCAGACCTCCAAAGTTTTGTATCTTTTTCTTCTGAAGTTCATTATAGACATTATTAAGAGCAGGGACTAGCATTCCAAATTTTGCCTTCTATTCAAAAGCATTAAACAGATAAATTGAAATACACTTCAAAACTGCGTCTGTCTTTTTTGATTCATCAATTCATCACCGTATACAACACATTTCTCACTAGTCTAATCCTGATTTTGTTTTTCTTTTTTAGGCTGCTGCTCTGGTTCATATTTATACTGATGGGTCTGTGCTTCTGACACATGGTGGCATTGAAATGGGGCAGGGTATTCATACAAAAATGATCCAGGTAACAAATGATCCAAACAAATATTACCTTGTGCTTTATCTGTCATGCAGATAAACAGTGTGCAGGTTTTCTTTTTGATTAGTTAGTGTACCAGTAGGACAGTTTCTTTATCAGCATAGCTACTACTTCTTTGCATTGGTAGAGTTAGAAAGCAAAGATGCCTTCATTAAGAGTCATAGAGACAGCAGGAAGAAAAAACAGATTGTTTGGATTTTATTCTTCCAATGGTATGTGAAGAGGCTTATTAGAAATAAGATTTTTTGGGGGCTGATCCCATAAAACCCATGGGGAAAAAAGACAGTATTCAGATTAGTATACAGTCCAGACAATATTTTTATGATCATATTTTCTTAATGGATAATTGAGAGACAGATCTGTAAAGAGATTTATCAAGTCAATGAAAGCTTGGGATCTGGGCCTGCATAATTTGCCCTAAGTCATACAGGATATAAGCAGCAAAATCAGGAACCAAATGTTGGACTACAGAGTTTCAATCCGGAGTTTGAGTACAGCTAAAACATTGCCCTTCTTTTCTGTTTCTTTGTACTGACAAACTGGGCAGAATGATTTCAGCTGGAGGTTGGAATAGGACTTCCTAAAAATTTATCTTTCCTGGTATCACTGACTTCTAGCAAGTACTGGGGAACTGTTGGACTGTTTAGAATGTTTTTAAAACAGAGAAGGATATGTTGTTCTTCCTGAAACAGGTTGCTAGTCGGGAATTGAACATCCCCATGTCATGTATTCATTTCTGTGAAACAAGCACAACAACTGTTCCTAATGCGTGTGCCTCAGCAGGATCTGCAGGGACAGATGTCAATGGCATGGCTGTGAAGGTAAAGAGTAGTATTTAGCTTAACAAAACACCCTATCCCCCAGGAGATTGCCAAGAAGAAACATGACCTGTTGACAGTTTCTCAGTAATGGTGCTTATGAGTTTTCAGAATATGATCTGAGCTTTCCCTAAAAGGCTTATGTTTGATAAAATCCTTGTTTCATCTAACAAACTAACCAGTCCCATACAAATCTTGTATCCTGTTCCTGTTCTAAACCTACTGATTCATGCAGATTCCAGCCCTTGAAACTTAATCCTTTATAAGGTTTGTGTCTATGCAGTTAAAATGACACCTAGTACCATACTTTTCAAACCAAGATGACAATAAAGCATATACTAATTAAGTACTAACTAGAACATATCTTGAATAGTACCAAACATATCTGTTGTTAATTTTGTGTTATATTCCTGACTCTAGTACTAACTAGAACATATCTTGAATAGTAGCAAACATATCTGTTAATTTTGTGTTATATTCTCCTGACTTTTCACCAGGATGCTTGCCAAACTCTTCTGAAACGCCTGCAGCCTATCATCAACAAGAATCCAAAAGGGACCTGGAATGATTGGGTCAGACATGTGAATCCTACTAAATGTGTTTTGTGTGCTTGCAGAAACTGTGATATATGTATTGTAGTCTATCAGTCTGCTCAGCCTAATAATCCTAAATTTAAAAACTGCAGAAACAGGTTATTTCACAGAAAGATGGGCTGTAGGTGCTTGGTTTAGATATGTGGGAAACAATCCCCAGATCATATCTAGTTGGAAAGGAGGGGAAGCTATCTGTGTAGTCACATTTGGAAGCAAAGAAGTCTTTAATATACAAAAAATATCAGCTTGTGCAATAACATAACCCAGCCCAGCTTACCCTCAGACAAGCTGTTGCCAAAAGATTGTCGGGGTATATGTGTACAGTGTCAGTTTTCCTACATGGCTGTTCTTTATTTTTATCAAATCAATAAAGAGAAGCCTTCTCAACCTCTTCCTTCCATCTCTCTCCCATATGCAGTACATTACAGAACTGCAAAAAAGGTAGCAGGAATCCTTGCTCCCATTGCTCTAATATGTAATTAGTTGTAACATTAGTTACATTTGCAGTAGAGTAGTACAGAAGTAGTGCTATTTATAGAAATGGCCCCTGTCTGGTGCCGACTTGGAACTGGACTAGAATTTTAGGGCTAGAAACTGAATTTTCTTAACTAAAAGCTTTCTGCTATAATATCGACTATTTTTATGAAGATATGGCTAGGAATCTAGTGCTATGTATTGAGATGTTAAAAGAAAACCTGTTTGTCATGTCTTCTTATCCAGTATTGCTTGTTATCTACAGCCTAACGAAAAGGACAATCCCTGCCTTGAGGCATTTACAGATCCAGTACACTAGGGTGTTTCTTCTCAAGTGATTAAGTACTATAATAACTAACTGCGAAAATGTAAACACTTTCTTGGCAGTAGTAATTCCTAGCAATAGCAAATAATGTTGAAATACATGTGGTAGCTTGATAACTGACAGCTATGTATGCAAAGATAAAATCCACTTCTCCTCTAATAGATGCCAGATTAATTTGGATAATTCAGACACACCCAAAATATTAACATTCTTTCTTAGGTCAGCCATTTCTGCTAATATATGCAGAGAAGTAATTTTGTGTCTTGCAAAGTCGGTAAATTATGATTAATTAAAATAAAAAAAAAAAAATTCTTGACTTGTAAACTGACTAAATCTAACATGAGAATCACTGAAAGGGAATAGATTTAGGACCTCATACTGTCATTTTTACCACTGGCAGAAGAACACTGCAAAGAGCATTTCTCTTGTCAACTGTCATTTTTGTGCTAATAGGTCATGCAGATCTTTTATCTCAGTGACTTATCAACCAGATCGGTTCAATTGACAGAGGGATACATTTCTATTGAACTTGAGCAGAAAAATTGAGCAGGGCCCTTTCTGACTATGGCATTACCAGTAATAAAGATTCTGCAAGAACACCACTGTTGACAGGTCTATTTCTTATTGTATTGCCAAAAGAATTCAGGTTGCTCGTCAAAAGGGCATTTAGTTCTACAGTATTAGGCCCCATGTGCAGCTAAACAGGCTTAGCTCAGCTGGTCTTCCTGTCTTTACAATTTGTTACAGTTTGGTTTTTAAGGAAATATATGTAAATAAGTAAATATATGTAAATTAAGTAAATATATGTATGCTGTGTTCCTTTCTGACTCCTTCCTTGGTTTACCACAAACACTGCTATTTTCTACAGATTAAAGAAGCTTTTGAACAGAGTGTGAGTCTTTCAGCTACTGGCTACTTTAGGTAATATATTTTTGTTCCTTAAAAATGCATAGGTTAGACCAGGACTGATTTCTGAAGATGCCGTGAATAGAAGATCCTGTCCAATAGTTCTTTCTAATGGCTCAGCTTATGTTTTATGTAATTCTTTGATATATGGGGGGTTGGAGTATAAAGTTTAAATGCTAATTTATGCCTAGTCCTGTGTGGACTCTCTAGAAAGTATCAAAATAATATTTCGTTCCATCTTTGCTCTATGATTCGGCCATTAGCAAACCATAAAGAATCAAGAAAGTGACTGCTGCCCGTAACAGTAGGTGTGCAAAGTGGGATATAGTTTATTTACTGGAGGCTGTATTGCTATAAGCTATAAATATTGTTGTACTACAAATTATTTACACTTTTACCCACAAACATGATCACACTGAGTGGCATGACCGGAAGAATGAGTGGCAGCATTAGAATATTTATCCAGCACACACCTGTAATTAGCAACCAGGTGCACTTGTGGAAAATTAGGACCATTTAATTCTAGATCTGAATCTTAAGGTTATTTCTTTTTCGAGGAAGGAGAATTTAAAACGTCTGGTTGAGTTTAAGAGAAAGCTCATGGTAATTTTTTTTTTTAAACTAACTCAGGAATCAGATGCCATGATTCAGCACTAATTGAAAGCTAGGGGAAGACTTAGTGCTCACATGAGAAGTGGGGTTGCTCACTGACCCTAGTTTTGGAGTCATTGTTTTGACCTCTTTGCTTCTGGAGCCTCAGAAAATTCCCACCATATATACTCTTAGATATGGATTTATTCACAATAGCATACTATTGTAGGACACAGTGATCTTAAACACAATTCCCATTGCTCTCTCTCAGTGCAGTCTTGTGGTCCTTTTTCTCTGAATTCTTTCACAGTGTTTATAAAGAACCAGAAAGAAAAAATTCCTGTGCTATAACTCAGGTGGGATTCAAAGCAAAGCTTCTTTCTTAGCCTGCTGTGCCTTATCTCTTCTCTCCCTCCACCTGTATTTACCTACTTATCAATAGCAACTTTTCAGGTATTCAGGCAGTCTGGAGTAAGTTGAAGAGGCACTTTACAAACCCATACTTATTTAAAACACCAAGAAAAGCCCAAACAAAATGTCTCTTCCTACTGTTATGTCTGTTCAAGTATGTTTTCTGCTTATGCAGCCCTTTAGGAATGTTGATATCTCCAAAGCAATGAGCAACAGTCATACTTTGCTATAGACATGTAATGGTGTCCAAAAACATCTGCAGATCCCTGAGCCTCAAATCCTGTATTGATCTAGTTCTAGTTCCAATCATATTCTCCACATCCAAGAATCTCAAAGCCAGCTGAGGTAGATGGGATGTGAGAAGTTGGATATGTGGATTTTGTGTATCCCTTTTCCAATGCACGGTTCAATGCTCTGAATTATACTACAATTGTTTTATAGGGTATAATTTTAAATATGCTTCAACAAAGACATTTCAATCATATATGGTCAGAAAATATGCCTTGGTCACATAGCTCACGTGGTTGGGAGATACCGCATTTCACTGTCCTCATGTCCACTGAATTTACCCCATCAATCCCGACTACTATAGTCTCCTCAGTTAGTCCCACTCCCTTCTAAGTAATTACACCTTTATTTCAATATTCCTGTTTTAACCCTCTCACTCATTCTGTAGGCAGTTTAACTGTAATTTTAACTCTTTCATTTATCTCTTGTAAATTATTCTTTCATAGGTCCTGACCAGTTTTCCTCCCTTTTTCTGAATTCCCTTATGTGCTCTTAACTCAGCAACCACTACCTTAAATTTGTATTCTGTACTTGATTACCGTGTCTTTATTAGTATATTTCTGGGATTATGCTGGTTATAGACTCTCCTGAACTGAAATAGCTTGCTTGTCTGCTAAATTTTATATAAATACCAGCTCTATCAAACCTAAACTACTAGTGCTCTGTGGGATTTCATGGAACTTAACTCTTGGGGTTCTGACCTGTTATTTAAGATTTCACTTGATTTAGTTTCAAACTTTCATGTGCTCATCTGCTTTGTTATGATGCAAACATTCATTAATTTTCTTCTTGTGGACTTTGTTTCTTCCATCAGAGGTTACAATGAAAACATGGATTGGGAGAGGGGGGAAGGACAGCCATTCACATATTTTCTTTATGGAGCTGCTTGTTCAGAGGTTGAAATTAACTGTCTAACAGGAGATCACAAGGTAATAACTGAGTGTCATGGAAGTTTTGTAAATAATGTCGTTTGTTTGTATCACTGGATGCTCCAACAACCATTCAGGTTTTGCATTAAAGTCACCTGTCTTTACATGATAGTAAATATATCAACAGTGTAAATGCAAATTACAGGTGGAGCAGAATGAAAGCTGTGCAGTGTTAACCAGCTTTTGGCACATCTGTATTAATGTCATATGGGTTCACCTTTTGGGTTATGGCAGACATCTGACATGCTCTTTGCTTGTTCTCTCCCTGTTTGCCAGCAAACAAATTGCAGCAGAGCTAAATATTCTATTTCCAGGCTTTTGACCATCTAGACAGCTAAATGTCATAGACTGCTGATTGTGTGCCCTCTATCTGTACTTATTTATGTGGGGATTTCCTTGTGCAATGGGAAAAATCTGGCAGGGCTGTGTCTGGCTAAACGTCTGTTAAAGTTGAGACAAGCCCGTTTTGCTTGTAATGGGGTATTGGAAATTACTTTGAAATTGTGTACATGGAGGGGCCTCTGTCTTAGCATATATTATGCCACTGAATACCAACTCTAACACACATTATGTTCTAATGCCTCCACTCCGTGCATCTCTCTCAATAATATCCATTTGAATTTTATTGACAGAACCTCAGAACAGACATTGTTATGGACATTGGACGTAGCATAAACCCAGCTGTGGATATAGGACAGGTATGTGCCAAGAATTTCCTGCTGTCTTATTTCTATTACACTGATAGCCTTATCTGAAGTGAAGATTACCTCATTAATTCAGAAAACGTTAATTTCTTACCAGATAATGTTATAAGTCATAGAACATATTAGAAGGTCTTTTACTTGTAGACTTGCCCCATTTGAGTCAGTGTGAGAGCTTTGTAGATGTCAATGAAGCTTGAATTTTACCCATGGTGTCAACCTGTAGTACTTCCTGTATGTATGTATATATGCCCACTATCTGCTGGACTTAAATCCTGTTTGTGATCTACGGTCTCCAGATTCTCCTGTTGTTTGACCTGCCTTACCCACTTGATAGCAGGGAAACACCTTTCTTCATTGCAGGCTGGTCCACAGATCTCATCACTTTATCACGAAAACATTTGTCTCCGCCTGGTGTGAGAGAGGAGTGTGAAAGCTTTTCCCATCACAGTAGCCCCAAAATGTTGAGGAATCCCGTTAGGCAAACAGGAAAGAAAATGGTCTTCTAACAGCTAGTGATACAAATCAGTTCTTGCCAGAGTTTTACCCATTTTACCAAACATGAGAACATAAATGCTATTTCTTTTCTTATTTAAAGATTGAAGGTGCCTTTGTTCAAGGTGTTGGACTGTACACAATGGAGGAATTAAAGTACTCTCCAGAAGGAGTCCTCTATACTCGGGGTCCAGATCAGTATAAGATCCCTGCTGTTTGTGATATTCCAGAACAGTTTAGTGTTTCCCTGCTGTCAGCTTCCCAAAATCCTTATGCCATCTATGCATCCAAGGTAAGCAAACCATCACAGGGCCTAATTCTTAGATTCCAGGACAAACAGAGAAATTACTCTGATATAAAACATATATAAGTTTTCAGTTCCTCTTCTTTAGCATTTCAAACAAGTGACCATAAAATTGTTTTATTTACAACATCAGGGAAACTAGTATGAAAAGATATAATGCAGGATATTGCTGCATATCTTTCACGGTTGGCAAGTAGTAATTTTAGGTTTTCGTTAACAGACCATACACAGAAGCTGCAAGATGAATTTAAAACCATACTTTTAAAATGTGGTGATAAACTGAAGGGTTAGAATAAAAATACCAAAGAAATTGATGGAGAAATCATAATGACGATGAGAGCGTGCAGCTTACTTACGGTTGTTATGCAATAAGAAATAGGACTGTACGTGTGTATTTATATGAGAGATTGGCTCAAGTATTCAGTTGGTATAATTATTGCTTCAATTTACACCAGCAAATATTCTGGCCAGTTGCATATAAGTAATAATGGTAAATCAAGATGAAGGTAGCTGTGCAAATTTCCAGCTGTTTCAAGTATTAGGTATGCTTTTAGAATACAGTAAAATAAAACAGTGTGACAGGAGGGAAAAGCATATTTTATGGTGAAAGTTATTAAAGAACAAATAGGTCCTTTAAAATTATTTAAAGCTGTCTCAGTAATACATAATTAGAAAAGTATTTGAAAAAAAAATCATCTAGGTGAAGTACTTACATAGTTGATTTGGAGCTGATCTAGAGAGCTGATACTAATATCCCTCTTCAAACAGAGCTTTTATCCTTTTCTGTGAACTTATCTCCTATAATTAACCTTAAAATTCACTGTAAGAAGGTGTGATTCTGTGTTCATGCACCATGTTTGGGGAAGACATTTGGTTCTCAGATTTTACCAAGGAGATAAGTAAGATTCAATTGCAATATCCCAATCCAGTCCAAACTAAAATGTTCAGTACCACAGCACTGAGAGAACCATGGTATAAGGGTGGATATGACCTATCTTTGAGATAAGGAACAAATGTGAATCTTATGTCAGAACCAGTGAGAAGATGTCAAGCCCACTGAGGTCAGTGGCGTTTGTCTGCAGGGAATTATCATGAGTTCAGGCTTTGTTTCGTAGTTGTATCTGTACCTGTGTTTGGATTGTTTTAATTTTATCTGCCGGTTATTCTAAATTTCAGTTTAGCAATGAGCCAAAAAGATTCTAAAATCAATAGCCAATATTTGAAATCAACCTTTTCAGCTCCCTGGAAGCAGCTACCATCAGAACACTTGGTGTGATCTAAGCTTGCTTCCACTAAATCTGAAATAAACTTCCTTACTGAAGGACAAAACCCTTTTTGAGTCACTGACTTTTAAGCTTTTAGGTTGATGTTGATATGGCATGTATTCTTCTCTCATTTGCTCAAAACCTACACCTACTTGACTTCCTTTTTTTTTTTCTTTTTCAGGGGATAGGTGAGGCAGGACTTTTCTTGGGATGCTCTGTGTTCTTTGCTTTGAGACATGCAGTGACTAGTGTGAGGAATGAAAGAGGACTGAAAAAGACCTTTGCACTGAACAGCCCTTTGACTGCTGAACAAATACGGGCAGGCTGTGCAGATGACTTTACTGAGATGGTAATAGGTAGGTAGGGGAAGGGTCTGTTTAAGTATCTCTGGGTAGAAATACATACTGCTTTTGGCACCCTTGAACAGTGGGGTGCCTAATGATGTCTCCAATTGCTCATGCTTTATATACAGCAATATCATATGGCTCCTTGTAATTGAAATGTCTGGTAACAGCTCTCACTCACACAAGTTATTCCAACAAATGCCATTCAAGCATTGTATTGGAATTTCCCTGATTTTGTATAATCTTTTTTTTTTCTTTGAAATTTACATAATTTTTACAATCCCTTCTTTCCCTGAAGCCTCCTCCTTTCTTCTGTGTGTCAAATCCCATAGAGGATTAAATATCTCCTCTTACTGACATGAAATGGATCAACCTCCAAACATCTTCAGTCTCCTTCCAGGTGCTTTCCCCCACTGACTTGCACTCTGGCACTGTCACCTTATTCTGGTATTCCTTGCTATGCCCAGTACTCTTTGGGAGAAAAATAATTAACTCAGAGCTAACAAAAGGGTACAGAAGAAAAACAAATGAGGCAATACACTTCTTATAATGCTGATCCTTTATATTCTATGTTTTCTGCAACTGTTCACTGTAGTCATGTTCCCACTGCTATTACAATTCTTTTTCTGTGTAAGTTTTTGTTTAGCCTACAACATCTGTGAAGCAACACCCTTGCCAGCATATAAATCCATACTGTGCCTTGAACCTCTGAGGCTCTGCTATGGAAACTCTTGAGCTCTCACTCACGGATTACTCCCATAGTGTTTGCGTGCTCATGGTGGGGCATCATTGGCCCCCAAATCAATAGGTTTGTGGGCTTACTCTCATCACAGGAGCTTGCAGGAGGTGAGGTCCACCAGTGCAGAGACCATGCTTCTCCATCCCTGTTTGGCCTTGACCCCAGTTATCACTGACCTTCCTTCTAGCCATCTTCTGCAGGTATCATCTCCTGTAGAATACCCTGCTGAGTGACTTGGAGGCACCTGATAAGGGCAATATTGGGAGCTTGCCAGTCAAATAATATTAACAAGTCACTCTTTTCATTTCTTGCTTGTTCTTTTAGATGACAAATGATGAATCTGCTTCCTCCACTCCTCGGGCCTTATCTGTGTGAATGACAAACCAGAGTGCACAAGACCTGAATGGAATGGAATGAAATACTGATTTACTGCCCGAATACACATTAATCAACACACAGATAAATATATTTTCTCATTTTCAGAATAGAATCAGTTACCAAAAATATGCACATTACATCTTCTATCCTTATCTTCATTCTCCATCCTGTATATTCATTACAGTACTTTGCTTAAATTACTGCATTTAATTGCTGGAAATACATCTCCTACATTTGAAGCATATATATTCAGCAAGAAAGATCTGCTGAACAGCTCAGCTCAAATGCTGCAGGACAAGAAAGTTAGGATGAAGTATAAAGGTATGTTAGGTAACTTACTGCCCTATCCTTATCTTCATTCTCCATCCTGTATATTCATTACAGTACTTTGCTTAAATTACTGCATTTAATTGCTGGAAATACATCTCCTACATTTGAAGCATATATATTCAGCAAGAAAGATCTGCTGAACAGCTCAGCTCAAATGCTGCAGGACAAGAAAGTTAGGATGAAGTATAAAGGTATGTTAGGTAACTTACTGCCACTTATTACACTTAACAACTTCATATGGTAAATGATTTTTTAATGGCTTCAGCTGATTTTCTAATTTAGATTTGAGTCTTGCAGTGGAGTGTGAGTGCAGAGATCTTTGTCTGTTGGAGAATCAGAACCTTGTTTGTTGGATTCAGTCCCTTTTTGATCAGAAGTGATGCTCTGATTTGTAGTAAAGCTGCTTTAGATTCTTTTGGCACAGACATTTCTGTGTTAAAAATGTGCAAGAAACAAGAGTTATGATTTTCTTTTGCTATGCCAGGCAAATTGCTATGGCTGACCTACATATATAGGAGATCAATTTTATCCCAAAAGTTGGAAGAGTCACTTAGTTGTAATTTCCACCAGAAGCTTTCTTTTTCTCATGGAGCAAGCCAAAAGCCTCTGAACTTAATGGGAAAACTCACATGGAGTTCAGTGTGCTTTGAATAGGAGACTGGATGAACCTGTCTCTGGAAAGGACTCTTAAGCAGTGCTTAATCCTGTGCTCAGGACTATATTGAGCCATGAAAGTACAGTTAAGGACTTTCTTCCACTCTTGGCCTCTCCTGTAACAAAGAAGATAGAAAGAACATAATGAGATCAAAAGATGATCTGCAAAGATCGGTCATCTGATACTGTCTAGGGTGCAGTGGCATTACATACAATTACATACAATTATATATTATATACATAGAATATATCAAAGTTAATATATTATGAAAGCTCCAGCCACAATATTCAGATTTCAGCATTAGAATCCACAATATTGAACTGACTGAGAACTTTAGCCTTTCCTCCTCTTGAAGTGCAAAGCTGAGACTTCAGTTCTGAATGCACACACACACAAATACACAAATCTCCATGGTATTTGAATTTGGAGCTTTGATCTGGGATACATCCTAATACAGAGAAAACACTTCACTTTTTTAGTTAATCTACAGAAGTTACCCAAAGTAGGACCTGAAAAATTGCAGCATGTTCTTTGATAGGAAAGTAGAACTGGGAAAATAGGTAGTTTGTACATTCAGTGTGTGGTTTCAGTGAACCTCTGCATCAGTTATTCCTTGCTGAGCATGGTGATTGATCTTCCAGTTACTCATAGGGCAGATTGCTCCAGAACCATGAAGGCTGCCATTTGTAATGAAAATAAATGACTTTAATTTGTCTGACATGTCAGCCTGCAGGCTTTTATTATTTCACTGCTCCTCAGTTTTCCACAGACTATTTTCTCTTCTTGCCTTCCATCCCTTTTATGAGTTGATACTGTATCTGTGACAGAAATCAGGTTAGTAGGTTAAACTGTTCTTGCATTGGCTATTGAGATATGAAATCTTTACTGTTTCAATTCGTTTGTCTCTGTAACCACTATGAGTAGGTGAAATTCAGCTGCTTAAACATAGGTGTCTAGATCATTTTAGGTGTCATAAGACAGCAGAGACATAGGAGAGCACAGGACTGGAAGCCAAGCAGGTTATAGCAAATCATCTGAAGTGACACTAGAAGTATGGTTTAGGCAGCTGAAGCCCCATGGGTTATTGCTTCTTTTTCTTCACTTTCTTTGTATTACTTTGGCTTTTATATCTTGTAAGAAAGTCAATAAATCAAATTAAATGTGAATGCTGCTGCCATAATTAGTTTTTCTGATTTGAAACATCTTGTTAGTTTCACTGCATGAGCTTGTTAATGACGGTTCACAACCCCATATGTCGGTAACAGCCCCAAAATGTGGGTAAATCCTGGGATATGCTGAAGCAAGGAGCATATAGGTCTATTGAACTGGGAGAAGGTGCATTCTCTGTGGTTCTCCTATGTACCTATGCATCAGCACAGGTGCTGGTTAGTTCCAGACAAGTCAAATCTTGTAAAAATTGTGGCCCAGCCCTTGCAGACAATGACGTCTCCCCACCTGCAGTGCTGAGATGTTTGCACTCCAGGGATGCATCATGTTCTAGACCTGCACTTTGTTTTCTGCAGTGCAGATCACATGTCTGCATGTCAGTATTTCTCAGCTATTATTAAGAAAGATTCCTCCCTGCCTCTTTACAAGTGGCACTGTTGTCTGGTTGTCTCAGGAAAATCTATACATGTACCAAACACGGGTTGTTGGTTTTTTGGGGGGCTGAAACATATTAAGCTGTCTCCTGGCTTTTAGGTGTTTGAAAAACTGCATGGAAGCTAGAAATTAAACATCCTGACAGATGTCACTATGGTTACATGGCATATTATGAAAGAAATCTTCTTAGACTATACAGGCATTAAAGAGGGTGGGGTTTTTATATTTTTAATATTGTTTAAAATGTGCAGACTCAGGGGGCTAGATAAACAGAAAGGTTAGGGCTCCAAAGGCACTGACACGTTGGATGGCTATTGACACATTAATGTGCACTGTACGGAACCACCCAAACTGGAGATGGTTGAAAAGAACTCTTTCTACTCATTTTCTTCATGAAAGAAGTGTTTCTATAACTATCCACCCTCAGCACTCCCATTCCGTGTGTGTGTAAGCTTAAACACCTAACATAATTATTTTGGAGGCCTAGTACTCTGAAAATTAGATATTGGACTGCCAAAATCTAGTATTGGGTCTGGTTCTTTCTCTTCTTATGCCTTGAACCTATATCAGTGTACCTACAACATGTGGAATACTACAGCAGTTGCTGCAGTTGGCAGGACCCATTAGGCCTTTTGCCTGCAGGACCTAGTGACCGACATTGCTTCAGTGCTTGCATTGTGGTAGCTCTCAGGTATACAATAGGGGCTTTTCTGCCCCTCTACTCTAGTGAGACCCCACCTGGAGTACTGTGTCCAGCTTGGAGCCCTCAGCATAAGAAAGACACGGACCTGTTGGAGCGGATCCAGAAGAGGGCCACAAAAATGATCAGGGGGATGGAACACCTCTGCTATGAAGAAAGGCTGAGAGAGTTGGGGTTGTTCAGCCTAGAGAAGAGAAGGCTTTGGGGAGACCTTATTGCAGCCTATCAGTACTGAAAGGGGGCTTATAAAAAAGATGGGGGCAAACTTTTTAGCAGGGCCTGTTGCGACAGGACAAGGGGGAATGGCTTTAAACTAAAGCGGGGTAGATTTAGACTAGATATAAGGAAGAGATTTTTTATGCTGAGGTTGGTGAAGCACTGGCACAGGTTGCCCAGAGAGGTGGTGGATGCCCCATCCCTGGAAACATTCAAGGTCAGGTTAGACGGGGCTCTGAGCAACCTGATCTAGTTGAAGATGTCCCTGCCCATGGGAGGGGGGTTGGACTAGATGACCTTTAGAGGTCCCTTCCAACCCAAACTATTCTATGATTCTATGATTAAAACACAAAAGCAGCAGCATATCTCTGCTGAGAATCATTTTCTTTCCTTCTAATGGGGAGTGGTGAAAGATCTGGGACTGACTACTTTGTGCTGCAAGCCTACACTGACTCTAAATGAAATACAGAGACCTTTGCTGTAAAATGTAAAAATGGTAAATGAGGCATAAGACATGCACGTACACAAATGGAGACTTTTGAAAGACATATGCATAAGTCCCCTTCTAAAAAAAAACAAAGGCCAGCTGTAATAAAGCATTTAAAGATTAATGACCTTGTTTCCTAGATGCGCATCCAGAGAAATGGATAAGAATCTAGAATCCTGAATCAGGATTTGGGTTTTCTCTCTCTAAGAACATGGTATATAGAGAGTACGGTCATCTTATAATGGCACCCACAGCAGTCAGGGTATAGAGCTGGCATGGCATAGAGATAACCAGAAGGAAATTTTAAATGTGTGTGTAGTAGTAATCTTGATTTTGTTAAAACTTCGTCACTCTGCAGGGAAAAAAAAATAGATAATTCAGATCAGTGACAAGCTAAAATGAGGCACATGGCTCCACAGCTTAGCATTTGACACCCTGCAGAAGTGGGTAATGTTGCATGTCCTGGGTTCTAGCTTCAGGCATTCCTATGTATTCTAAATTCATCAGTTACTGGATAATATAAAAAAAACAGGCCTGGCAGTTGTAGCTCAAACCATGAAGTCCCCCTTACAGTTAAGTGCCTTATCTCTTAGGTTACAGGGTTAGAATTAGAGGGGCTCAAATTCTTTCCAGATTATTTCAGCTCACCAGAGAAGAGTTGAAAGTTTGGTGCATTAGCATCTGAACATGCATTAATTGCTGAGAAATGGCATACATTACACTGGCTCCTCCCCATATACTTAATTTGATGCTCAGTCTGAAAATAAATTCTGCGGAACAAAGCAAACTCAGTTGACCTTTAGGAGCATATAGCATTTCATTAATTTCTCTTGATGTGTAAAGCTTTATTTTTCAGACTTCAATGCAACAGCATGGCTTGCCCCCAACAATCAGATGAGCTTGTCTTTGTTGTGAATGGCAGGAAGGTAAGTTTTTAAATGCTTTTTTTTTTTTATTGAACAGCAGTGCTTTAATGTTTACTCTTCATATTCAGGAAAGCTGTCATTCTGGAGCAACAGTTTATTCATGGATAACCAC